AAGGTGGACTGTTCACGTTTACCCCCCAAGAATTCCTGAGATGTTGTAGCGAGTGGTAACCCAAACCATATCACTGGTTAATTTCAGAAGTAGAATTATATTGAAGTCGAATCCTCCAAAAGGTGTGTGCAGCTAAAAAAAAAACCCAAAGACACCCGATTTGGGATGTGGGTGTATTGGGTGCGTAGCACAGAGGTGGGGTGAGTGGGGGGGGGCGGGCAGGTGTTAAAGCCTCAGACTGGGTGTGAGGGTGTCTGGGGTGTCTGGGAGGCGGGCAGGAGCCTCGGCTGGAGCAGGGGCAGTACCAAGGGGCCTGGGGGCATCCTCCGCATCCCCCATCAGGCAGCTCGGGCAGCTCCCCCACTCCCTCCCTCCACTGGCCAGCTCCAGTTTCTGGGCAGACAGCAGGAGTCAGGTTCGGCTTTTGTTCACTCCCCAGAGGGACGAAAGCGAACACCGAACACCGTGACTGCATGCGTGACTACAGACACACAGACACCCTCCCCCGCGCCCCCCCTACCCCCAGCTGTCTCTCGGGACCTTTCATTCTCTCTTCTCAGCGCACAGACCAGCCTCTGCACCTTGGCCCCGTCCTCCCAGCTGCCTGGCATACCCTCCCCACTCTTTTCTGCTTCTTTACCGCCAGCCTTTCCTTCAAGGCCCCAACACATCGCCATACTTGCTCTGAGCCTTCTCAGAGCCTTTCTGGGCCTCAGTTTCCCCATCCGTAAGATGGGATTTAACTGGAGCTGTGAGCCTCCAATTAAATCCCCTCCCGCCAGCCTCCTGCCCTTGTGTCAGGTTTTAGAAAAATCCCACAAGCAAGAAGATTGGAGTTTTTAGAGGTTCACAGATGCCCACTGCCTCACTGCTTCCTGGAAAGTCTGTCTCTCATTTTTATTCTCCGGAGTTACTATTTAATTCATTCAACAGACATTTATTGGGTCCCAACCATGTTCCAGACCCTGTGGTAGGTGCTGGCGATCAGGCCTGGCTTCACGGACCCACGCTCGGAAGGGCCCCATGTTTGGTTTAATGCTGTCTTCTCTGACATGGTAGGGGAATAGACCCAGAGGAAACAGAATGTATTCAGTAGGGGACACAGTGTGCCATCAGGTGGGGAGAAGAGCAATAAAGAACAAAAACAAAAACAAAACCCTCTTCAGGTGCCTTCCAGGGTAGACAACAGGAGAGGAACCGGCCATGTGGACAGTGGGGGAGGGAGGGTGCTCCAGGTAGAGGACACTGCAAGATCAGAGGCCCAGACCAGAAAGGAGGTCACTGCGACAGGATGGGCCTGACCAGGGCAAGTGTAGGGGAGGTGAGCTCTGAGAGATGACCGGGGTACTGTTCAGAGCAGGGGTGGACCAATTCTCCCTGGAAAGGGCCAGGCAGTAATATTTTTGTCTTCGGGGGCCCTCAGACCTCAATTCGGCCAAGGCGAATTGGATGGGCGAGGCTCTGTCCCAATAAAACTTTATTTATAGACACTGAAATGTGAATTTCAAGTCATTTTCATAGATCACAAAATATTACTCTTCTTTTGATTTTTTTCCGCCCAAACCACCTATAAGTGTGAAAACCATTCTTAGCTCTTGAGCTGCACAAAACCAGGTGGGGGTGGGATTCAGCCCTGGGGACCAGTTTCTGTAGACCCTTGGGGACCCCCCCCCCCGAGAGCAGTCTGGATTTTACACTGAGTGAGGCTGTTGGAGGCTTTTGAGCAGAAGAGAGATAAGAGTTGATGCAGGCTTCAGGAAGCTGGGGGACAAGGGCAGGGGCTAGGAGACCAGGGCAGAAGTGTCCCCACATGGAGCCTGCAGTGATGGGGCTGGACTGCAGGCAGGAATGGGTACATGCATAGAGCTGACAGCCAGTGGGGTTGGCTGGTAGATTGAGTGTGGCACAAGAGAGGGGGATGGTGGTGCCCACATGCCCCAGGGTGAGGGGGTTGAGGGGTATTTGTCTGAGCTTGTATAGAATCCAGGAGGACAGGCCAAGGTACTGGGAAATCCGAGGCCCGAGCTGGGAGATCCATTTCAGTTTCCTCCCTGGGCAAGCCTGAGAGGGGCACTCTGCCTCTGGGTGTGAGAGACAGGAGCCCTCAATACCCACCCCTCCCCAATTACTTATTACCAGACTCCCCATTTATTGGCCCCACCTCTCCCTCCTCCTGCCCAAAGGTGTCCTAAGAAGAATCACAGACAGATCTCGCCCCCGGGGGACACTGAGCCATGTCTAGGGATGTCTGTGGTGGTCACACTGGGGGTGCTCCTGGCATCGAGTGGGCGGGACTAGGGATGCCACTCAGCCCCCCACAGTGCCTGGGACAGCCCCCCAACAGAGAGTGGTCTGGCCCTGAATGTCCACAGTGCCTCGGTGGAGGAACCCAGCTGTATGGTGCCTGTTGCATTATCTATCCCGTTTAGCAGTTGGGGAATTGAGAGCCAGAGAAGGAACATGACTGGCCCAAAGTCACACAGTGTGCATAACATGACCAAGCTGGATTCAAGCCCCCCCGCCGCCTCCTGTCTGCAGTCATGGCTGCTAACCCCAGGTTCCAGAAGGCTGTCTCTATACCCATCCCTTCTCTCCCCTGTCATCCCTGTGTCCCCACCCCCAACCACCCCATGGCCCCTTCCTGAATTTGCAGCCATATCAACACAGTGGACCATCCCACATTCTGGAACCTCTCGTGGCTTCCCCAATGTCCCCCATTCCTGGATTCCCCCTCCTTCCGTGGACACACCTCCTCCTCTGCCCTACCCTTAAGTATGAGCCCACCCACCTGGTCCTGGACCAGGGCATGGGCAACTGGGCTGGTGGAGGAGAGCGATAATTTCATGATTTCTCCTGAACCTGGTCTTGTCCCTGCCACCCCCCCAACTCCTGCCCATCCTCTAAGTTTCAGCTCAGATGCCCTCTCTTCCGGGAAGCCCTCCCAAACTCCCCAGTGTCAGGAGTCCTCTCTGAGCTCCCAGCTGGCCTGGGCTTCCCCCATTACAGCCCTGATCACCCTGGTTCATCAATCCCTGGGTGTATATGTCTCCCCAGGGACCCCAGGGATAGCAGGGACATCTGTCTTGTCACCACTGGGAGCCAGTGCCCCGTGCAGCGCCAGGCACCCCATAGGACAAATGGACTCAATGACTGAGATTCACATGGCTCAGAGGACCTGGCCTTGTGAGTCATTCATTCACTCAGCAAACATTTATGCTGGGGTGCCTGGCCTGTGTCAGGGAGGCCTTGGCCTGGCCCTGCTGTCAAGGGGCCCCCAGTCTGACTGAACACCCAGCGGACAGAGACCCTACCAGCCCCTGGGAGGAGCTGGGTCCTCTCCGTGTTCTGGTGATTTTACTGACCACCTACGATGGCCTGTGTCCTCAGGATTCAGCATTAGATATGCACACGGGCGCAAGCACATCCGTGTTTGACGAATGAATCCATGTTTACTGCACTTACTATGTGCCGGGCACTGGTGAGTGCTTTGCGTGGCCTATCTCATTAGTCCTCCCGAAAACCCTCTGCGTGCAGTAGCAACTGTTTATTTTGAAACCCATTTTCCAGGTGAGGAAAGTGAAGTCCGAAGCAGGTAAGCAAGTATCTTGGCCGGGTCGTATAGGTGCTAAGTGCGGAGGGCCTGGGGATAGGGCCCTGGATTCAGATTCGTTTGTCAGCCTGCTGGGTCCCCCTGGTGCGTGAGTGCATGAATGATGGCCCGGCAGAGTGGGAAGCTCTGGCTGCCGGGGGCTCAGGCCCGGAGTCACCTGCGACCCGCGGCCAGCTCGGACGAGGCGGAGACGCTGCGGGCGGGTCCCCGGAGATCCAGCGGGCAGCCCGCGGGGCCAAGGGAGCCGGCCTCCTTGGCCACATCCTGCTCCAGGCAGGAAGGTCAGGGAGTGCCCAGGCGGCACCTGGTCTCGGAGCCTAGCCCCTCCCCGACACGACCCCTACCGTGGGGGCGGACCTCCAGGAGGGGGGGTTGGGGCGCGCGGGCCGGGCGGCAGAGCTCCAACCGGACCCCCACCCCTCCCTCGAGTCCCCCCCAAGTTCCTCCCTCCGGACCCCCCAGCCCCTCCCTCCAGCGCCCTGCATCCCCTCCCTCCAGCGCCCTGCATCCCCTCCCTCCGACCCTCCGTAGCCCCGCCCTCCGGGCCTTCCCTCAGCCCCCTCCCCAGTCCCTCCCTCCGGACCCTCCCTCCAGCGCCCTCCAGCCCCTCCTGCTCCTCCCGCCCGGTCCCCCAGCCCCTCCCTCCGGGCCCCCCTTCAGCCCCCTGCCCCTCCCTCCGGGTCCTCTCGGCCCCTCCCTCTAGGCCCTCTCCAGCCCGTCCCTCCAGGCTCCCCCAGCTCCTCCCTCCAACCCCGCATTTCCTCTCTCCGGAACCCCCCCCAGGCCATCCCTCCGGACCCCCAGCCCCTCCCTCCGGACCCTCCCTCCAGCTCCCCCAGCCCCTCCCTCCGGGTCCCCCCTGCCCCTCCCTCCGGACCCTCCCTCCAGCGCCCTCCAGCCCCTCCCTCCGGGCCCCCTCCAGCCCCCTGTCCCTCCCTCCGGGCTCCCCCAGCCCTTCCCTCCGGGTCCCCCCGCCCCTCCCTTCGGGCCCCCTCCAGCCCCACGCTCCGGGTCCCCCCTGCCACTCCCTCCGGGCCCCCTCCAGCCCCATCCTCCGGGTCCCCCAGCCCCTCCCTCCGGACCCCCGCCCAGCCCCCAGCCCCTCCCTCCGGGTCCCCTCCAGCCCCTCCCTCCGGACTCCCCAGTCCCTCCCTCCAACCCCCCCAGCCCCTCCCTCGGGCCCTCCCGGCCCCCCCACCCCCCTTTCGGCCCGGTCGCCTCCCGGAGCACCGAGCCCGGCACCCGGAGCCCTGGCCGCCATGAAGCAGCTGTGCGTGTGCGCCGCCGCCTCCTCCGCGGTAGGGCCAGGGGAGGGGGCGCGGGGGCGGGCGGGGCTCGGGCCCTTCCTCTCCCCTCCCCACTCCGCCCCTCCCCGCCCCTGGCCGCTCCCGGCCGGGACCCCCGCCCCAGACCCGGGAAGGACCCGGAGTGAGGGGGTCGCGGGGCAAGGGGGCAGAGGTTGGGGGATGGGTGGGACCTTTGGGGAGACATGGGACGTTCTGGGAGGCAGTTTTGAGAACAGATGGGAACACTGGAAAATTTAGAGGACATATGGAGGGACAGTTTTGGAGAATAGTTTTGGATGGGTTCGTTTGAGGGGACAATTTGGACTATATTTTGAGGGATCATTTTTCGGGAAAATATATTGACATTTGGAGAACAATTTCAGAGAATATTCAAGGGATTTTTTTGGAAGGACATTTTTAGGACAGATGTTGGGGTCATTTAGGGGGATGATTTTGGAGAAACTTAAGGAATTTGAATATGACATTTGGAATGCATTACATGCTAAGTAAGGTTTTTTGGGGAACAGATCTTGGAACATTTGGGGGACAATTGTGGCATTTTGGGGTCAGTTTAAGAAGGATGAATGACAGAGGACAGTTCTGAAGGACATTTAAAGGGACCCTTTTAGGGGCTCCTATGGGAAGATTTTGGAGGTGGGGTGATGTTGGAAAGGGGGTTTTCACTAAAGGACCGGCTGGGTGCTGATCTGGGGGAAATTTAATAGGATGATGCTGGTAGTGGGTGTAGGATGGACCTGGGGGCAGATGCTGGGGGATGCAGACTGGGGGGATGCTGTCTCAGACCCCCTCCCCAGGACTACCTCCCCCTGCAGCTGTGGCTCAGCCCCACTGACCTTGGCTCCTGCCCGCCCTGCGGCCCCTGCCCCATCCTGAAGCCGGCAGCCAGAGGCAGGCGCCAGGCAAGTGCCCAGGGGCAGGTGGTGAAGCCTGGAGCTCTGGCCAGGGGGGGCTGGGAGGGGGCAGTGATCGCCTGGCCCCACGACCCTCTGGGTGTGCCCTGCAGAGCCAGGAGTGGGGCAAAAGTGATGAGCGGCTGCTGCAGGCCGTGGAGAGCAACGACGTGGCGCGGGTGGCCGCCCTCATCACCCGCAAGGGGCTGGTGCCCACGAAGCTGGACCCCGAGGGCAAGTCCGCGTGAGTGCCCATGCCCTGGGGGGGTGAGGGACGAGGCGCGGCCATCCTGCAGCTGATCCCCAATCTCTGACCTCCAGATTCCACCTGGCTGCCATGAGGGGAGCAACCAGCTGCCTAGAGGTGATGCTGGCTCATGGCGCCAACGTCATGAGCACGGATGGGGCAGGTACTACCTGCCGGGCCTGGGGGAGGGACGAGGAACTCAGACCAGGTGCCCAGCCTGGGGTCCAGTGGGGCCCTGCTCCGTGGCTTCGGTGACCTGGTGAAAAAGGGGGAGTTCCTTTCAGTGCTCCCAGGAAGGCACAGGGACATGTCTGGCTGCAGTGCCCAAGGAAAAAGACCCGAGCTGGCACCAATCAGGGTCAGTCGACAGCTTGTGGTCAGGGAGTGGCCAGGACTCAGGTAGTGGTTAAGTCAGAGGAAGTAGCTGGAACAGAGGAGTACCTGAACTTGAGAAGTATCTGGCGACAGGAGACTAGCAAGTAGAGGTTAGGGGGTAGTATCTCAGGTATGTTGAGTAGCTGGAGCTCTGGGAGTAGCTGGGACAAAAGGAGAATCTGGGTGTATGACTTGACTAGGGCCCTGAGGGAATATCTGAGATAGACTGCACGGCCAAAGGGGATAGTTGGAGCTCAGGAGGTAACTAGGCGTGGGGCATAGCCATGTCTGAAGCTTTGGGGCAACGTAGGAGACAGAGCAGCCGGGATGTGTGGAGCAGCTGAGGGTTTGTAGAGTATCAAAGATGATGGGGAAAGAGTTAGCCCGTGGAATAGCAAGGGTTTACAGACTGGCGGAAACATATAGGACAGCTGGATTCTGAGGGGCAGTGGCGTTGAGCATATAGAGTAGCTGGGGACGTGGGGAGTCACCGGGGCAGGAGGGCTTGAGGAGTGCGTGGGAGTGGAGTGTAGGCTGGGATGCAGACTAGCTGGAGCTTGGAGAGTCTCTGGCCACGGAGTAGCATGGTTTGGAGAAGTACCTGGGGTTTGGGAACTTACTGGACGCGGGGAAGCTCATTACAAACAGTTGACACAGGTTTGGGGAGTGGCCAGAAGCTCCTTGAGTCTGTGGAGCCCAAGCAGACACTCCGTGCCTTTCAGGTTACAATGCCCTCCACCTGGCCGCCAAGTATGGGCACCCACAGTGCTTGAAGCAACTGCTACAGGTCATTTACTGTCTTGCATCAGATACTCCCTCAACCCTAGATGCTTCCTTCCTCTGGCTCCTCCCTCCCTCCCAAGTTCTAGAAATCCCCAAGCCCCTAGATACTCCCTGAATCCTAGATATGTCTTAACCTCTTTGACTCCTGAGCCCCAGCTACTCCCTGGACAACCAGCTACTCCCTGAGCATCTGGATACTTCCCACACCCAAGATATACGCCCAGTACCAGATTATCACCTGAGTCCCAGCTTCTCCCCAAACCCTAGGTAGTTCTTAGGCACAGTCACTCTCAGAGCTCCCACCCAGCCCCCAAACCCTCAGCTTCTCCCAAGCTCCCAGCGATTTCCACTTTCTCACCAATTTTCATAAAAGCCAAGTCACTTGGGGGCCCATGAGGAGATGGGGGAGGGAAGAAGTGCTAAGTCTAGGAGCCTGAACTCTGGCACAGCCTAAGAAGGGGCAGTTCCTAGAGAACCTCCAGTGACCCGCACCCCTCCCCCCACAGGCGTCCTGCGTGGTGGATATTGTGGACAGCAGTGGGTGGACGGCCCTGCATCATGCAGGTGGGTGCAGCCCAGCCTCGCCCTGCCCACCATGACCCAGAGGGTGCGAGGCTGGGGTTTCTTCTACCCGGGGCCCTGGGGACCTACCATGAACCTTCTGCTTCCTTCCTCCTCCTTCCTCACCGAGTTCCTGCTGTGTGCCAGGCCCTGGGGCTCAGCATTAATATTCAGCAACCCTTTGAGCCACAGACAGTCACCCCACTGGACAGGAAAGGTGATTGAGGCTCGCCCACAAGAAAGTAGGGAAGACCCAGGCTGCCTGACTCCAAAGCACAGCCTGATGTTTGCCAGGCCTGGGTGACAACCATGGTGGCAGTCTTGGGGTGTGTGTGACCAGAGTACAATTTCCTTTGACCAAATCCTAGGGGATCTCAGGAAGACCAAAGGTCCAGGCATCCTTAAAAATCATTAAATCTAAACTCTTTCATGAGGGAGGGGAAAGGACCCACCTGCCAGAACCAGATCTCAGCCCAGCATCTGTCCACCATGCCTGTGAGATTGGGGAATGACTTTCACTAATGCCTCAAGAAACGTCTTGACCTTTTGGGAACACGGAATACATTTGTGTTTGCTTTGGGGTTTTAATCACTGGTTAAGACTTCCCTGCAGTTGGAGTATGCTGCCACCTAGTGGTAGTGGTGCCTTTGGTCACACTGGAAGCGCACTAGGTTTTTTCATTCAATAAATATTTAAGTTCCTGCTATGTGTGTCAGGCTCTGTTCTAAGCATGGGGATTACAGCAGAAAACAAAATGCCATACCCCCTCAGGCACACAGCAGGTCATCATATAGAGCTTGTTGACTTTTCCAGTGACCCCCCTAGCATGAAACCCTTCCTCCTTTCTTTACAGCTCTGAACATGTACACTGTCTCCCACTTCCTTGACCTTACCATGCTCTTCCCCACTTCACAGCCCTTGCCTACTAAGAAAACTCTACCCTCCCCCTTTCACCTTCAAAACTCAGAACTCAGACCCAACCCCAAGAAGCCTGCCTAGTCTCAGCTGACCGTCTGATCCATCCAGCAAACATTAACACTCTGTATGGGGTTTGGTGCATGGCAGGTACACAATGCTAGTTAAATCAAAGAGAGGAAATACATAAACATTAGTCAAAAGTTCCACCTTAAGAGGGAGCCATGATGGAATGTGGAAAGAGCTTGGGACAGCGGGTTAGCAAACCTAATCATAGCTCTGTCTCTGACCCTACTGGCTGACCATGGACCTGGCTGGACCTCAGTTTCCTCATCTGTAACGTAGGAGTCATACCTTTGCCATTGCCCTCCCAGGGAAGGTGGGCACTTCTCATGAAATAAGGAATAAGAATCGCCGCAGGCAGAAAGCCCCCAGAAAATATCTAAACCTTGCCCTACCTACCCTCCCTCTTTTTCCAGCGGCCGGCGGCTGCCTCTCCTGCTCAGAAATGCTTTGCTCCTTCAAGGCACATCTGAATCCCCGAGATCGGGTGAGCCTCTGGGATCTTTTGGGGAAGATGATGTATTTGAGGTACACCGTCACCAAGTGGCAGCATCCCAGGCACCCTTTAAAAAGTGTGAGAAGGTCTGGAGTGAAGTTCAAGGGCACTCATATAGGCTTCCCTGCCTCCCAAGATCTGCCTCTCACCTTTTGTCTCATCTTTCCCCTAATTCCCACCAGTCAGGTACAACACCCCTTCTCATAGCGGCTCAGATGTGTCACACAGATTTGTGCCGCCTTCTCCTGCAGCAGGGGGCAGCTGCAAATGACCAGGACCTGCAGGGCAGGTGAGTATCTCCCCTCCCAGTTAGTCCATTGTACGCCGTGTGACCTTGGGCAAGTCTCTTAACTTCTGTGGGTGGGGGATCTAGCTGACCCTCCCCACCCACCCACCCAGCCTGGGTGTTGAGGAGGGCTTGGGGGTGTGAGAATGTCCTCGCTTCCTCAGTAGCCCCCTCTCCTAGTAGGACAGCCCTGATGCTGGCCTGTGAGGGGGCCAGCCCCGAAACAGTGGAGGTGCTGCTGCAGGGTGGGGCCCGGCCAGACATCACCGACGCACTGGGCCAGGATGCTGCTCACTACGGTGCCCTAGCAGGAGACAAACTCATCCTGCACCTCCTGCAGGAGGCAGCCCAGCGCCCCTCACCACCCAGTGGTATGCAAGCCCCTCCTACGCAATTTCAGGCACCCCCCATCTCCTTCCCAGCAGTTTCTTGTCACCCCTTTCCCTGCTGTAGTAGTTTCAAGGTATCTCTATTGGCTGCATTACGGGAGGTTTCATGTTTCCCCTGATGCTACTCAGAACAGTTTCAAGGAGCCCCAGAGCTTTTAGATTAATCTAGGGATCCACTCTGCTTTCCTGGGCCATTCTTATCCTTGGATCTTTGCCTTTCCTAAGAATTGGCACCCCTACTTGCACCATCCCGGAGGTGCCACTGTCCTCCCCTTTTGAGAGTTCCAAGGGCCCTCCTATTAAGCATCTGCAAAAGTAGCTGAGTCCTACTTTCAAAGTCCTGATTCTTGGGGAATTGGGAGCCCACCCCAGCCATAAGTCCCCTCACTAGTGTCCTTCCTAGGGCTGGGAATGGAGCCCCTAAAACAGAGTGCCTGACCCTGCTTCCCTCTCTTCCCTGCCCTCCTAGAGGATGACTCAGGCGAGGCATCATCTCAGGTATGGATCTCTAAGCAGTGAATGAGTCCCCTCCCCCTGCACACAATGCCCCCCCCCCCATTGCCCCAAGCTTTATGGGAAGAGAAGGAGGAGATGGACTTCTGTCCCAGGGTTATGACCTAGGAAGACCTGTTTGGGATGAATGCCACCTTCAGGGTATGCTGCCACCAAGCGACAGCAGCACCCACAGCATAACTCTCAGGACTGGGTGAGAACACTGCGGGGATGGGGCCAAACCATGGGGCTGGGGTGGGCTGGTAGAGGGAACTGAGTTTGGTGAGGGCTGGTGTAGGTCAGGGAAGAAGGCAGGTCTGGCCTGTTTCTCTCTCCCGGCCCTACAGCATCTCAGCTCCACAGGGAAAGGGAACTTGTAGACAATCTGGTCTAGTACCACGTACCAAGGCACAGAGAGGGGCAGAGAGTGAAGCATAAGATCTGGAACTCTCAGGAAGTATGGCCCCTTCTATGCCGGGATCAGTGAGGACCAGGGAGAGCCAGGGACTTGCTCAGGGTCACACAGGAAGTGAGGGCCAATTTGGGGCTGATGGCAGATAGTGGGGCTGGGCTGGCATATTTGGGTGGGAGGCTGGCATATCCCCCATGTGCCCCTGTCACCCCTTCCCTCAGAACTCTGTGTCCAGCCATGAAAAGCGAGGGGCTCCCAAGAAGCGGAAAGCACCTCAGCCCCCTGCCAGCATCCCCGTGCCGGTGAGAGATGCCCCGGCCAGGCCATGGCGGGGAGGAACAGGGGCAGGCAGGAGGGGAGGAAGCTCTGGCTCAGGTATTGGAGGGGACAGCCCGTGGGCCTCACGTGAAGGTGGTGGGTCCCTGGGGCGGGGGGAACAGGATGACCAAGATGCCTACGAGGAGATCATGCGGCTGCGACAGGAGAGGGGTCGCCTGCTGCAGAAGATCCGGGGCCTAGAGCAGCACCAGGAACAGAGGAAGCAGGAGGTGAGGGGCCACAGCGATGTGGGCCTAAGACTAAGCCTGGGGTGGGGTGCAGTTTTGCGGGGAAGACTCCCCTTACCTCTCCTAGCTCCCGCCTCCCTCTCTCCGCCCGCGCTTATTCTGCTCCAGCCACACGGGCCTCCGTGCTGTTCCCCCAGTGTTCCAGGCCTGGTCCTGCCCCAGGGCCTTTGCATGTGCTGTGCCCTCTGCTTGGAACACTCTTCCCCAGATGCTCCTGTGGCTCCCTCCCTCTTTTCCTTTAGGTCTTTGCTCAGAAACCACTTGCCAAAGACACCTCCCTTGCCTACCTTATTTAAAATTGTCACAGCTCCCACTCACTTCTCAGTTCCCTTTATTTTTATTCGAAGCACTTAGTGCTATTGGGCATGCCATGTATTTTATTCACGTTCACCCATTTGACTGTAAGCCCACGAGGATAGGCATGGTTGACCATGACTGGCTCACAGGACTCACCTGATGTTTATTGGAAGAACGGGTATTTGAGTGAGCCAGTGAATGAGTGGCCCCAAGACAGGGTCTGACACTCAATAAATCCTTAGTGATGAGTCAGGGGGCAGAGCAGGGTGCCGGGTGCGCAGTAGGTGCACAAGCACTGTCTGTGGTGGGGATGGGGGGCTACTACGGAGGTGGGGTGGGGACGACCCCCGACCCAGATTCAAGCCCTGTCCCCCCTTCTTCCCACCAGCTGCCAGAGGCAGAGGCCAGCTCCCTCCACAGCCTGGAGAGACAGGTAGGTGGCAGGTGCGGAGATAGCCAGCCCCTCAGCCGCCCGTGTTTCCTCCAGGAGGCTGGCCGAGCCCCACCCCCCCGCTGCCGCCCTCCTTCCAGGTGCAAGAGCTGCAGCAGCTGCTGGCTGAGAAGCAGGAGGAGAAGGAGAGCCTGGGACGGGAAGTGGAGAGTCTGCAGAGCCGGCTGTCCCTGCTGGAGGTGGGCGGGGGCGGAGCCTTGGGCGGGGGCGGAGCCTTGCGGGGCAGGGGCGGGGCCTCGCGCGCGCTGTGGTTACGGGACAGCCACACCGGTGTAGGTACAGACTCTCCCACGCGAACACACAACAGTCAAACCTACAAACGCACCGTCACAGACAACACACCCACACACGTACGTGCACAGTGGACACGTCTCCAAACACGGAGCCGGGACACACACAGATGAGCAGCCGCGCTCACGCACACGTGGTCTTGCACGTTAAACGGGTGAGCACAGCAAGCCTACTCCCACATGCACGCCAGAAATACTGGCGCCTACACAACAGACGCTCCTCCGTCCCACGCGGACGACACACCCACAAACCCATGTACACGCACAAGTATTTCCCCCAATACGTGACTACACAAACATCCGTGTGCACCTGGTGCTCACGCACACAGACCCACCTATATCCACAAGCACGGTCAAAGCGATCACACACACAACGGACTAAAACACAAGCACAAAATCACACACAGTCACAGGAACTCACACGGGAGGGGTGGGGGGCCACGCGACACCCCCGTGCTCACCACAGACCCCTGAACCCTGAGCTGTCTGTACTCACATGCAGACACCCTCAGCCCGACGTGACCCCAATGCAGGATCCCAGACATAACCCTGTGAGGACACAGCCCCGCATCCCTCTCTCCGTGACCCACACACACAGGCCGCACATACACCCCCAGGCATCACACATTCGCGCAGTGGCTGGGCTGTTCCCTGCCCTTCCGGGGAGCCCAGCATAGCCCCACAGCACACAGGTGGCACTCAGCAAACACTGTGGCCCAGACACGGCCAGTCTGATGCTCCTGGGGAGCGATGGGGACACGTGGATTCCCCTGTCCTCTCTAGATTCTTGGGGGCAGGTTTGGGGCTGGGAAGGGGGTAATACTGGTGCCGGACCCTGTCCCCCCCCAGAATGAGCGGGAGAATACCAGCTATGATGTGGCCACTCTGCAGGATGAGGAGGGAGAACTGTCTGACTTTCCAGGTGAGCTCCCACCCCCGTCCTCCCTCCATGCACCCCTGTCCACCTTGTCCCTGGGGCCCCTGGAAATGGAGCCTTGACCCACAGGCATGGAGAGAGTTTGAAGCTGGGAGGGAGGTTGGCCCCCACCCATTATTCATCCCACCTGCTTGCCTTGGGGGCTCTGACGCCCTGCTCCAGACCCCTAGTTCCCATCCCCTGTGGCCCAGGACACCCGGGGCTGACTCTGTGCGCCCACCAGGGGCCGAGGCTCTGCTCTCCAGACGGCTAAGCCCCTCAGCCCAGGAGCTCTTGGCCTCACTGCAGGAGCAGGTGGCTGCACTCACCAGACAAAACCAGGAGCTGATGGAGAAGGTCCAGGTGGGGAAACTGAGGCCCTGGAGGGTGGGATGGGGACAGGTCTGAGGACCTGAGGGATTGTTCCCCGGGGAGGGGTCAGGGTGGGCACACGGCTGAGTCTGTGGGCAGGGAAGGTGGCGGTGCCACTCTGAGCCCCCATGGCCACAAGCTCCCGCCAGCTCCCCACTACCTCCCAGATCCTGGAGAGCTTCGAGAAGGACGAGATGGAGGTGAACGGGTCAGCCGAGGTCATCCCTCTGGCCCTCTATGACTCTCTTCGGGCTGAGTTCGACCAGCTCTGCAGGCAGCATGCGGAGGCTCTGCGGGCGCTGGAGCGACAGGAAACGTGGGGCGCCCCTGGGGAAGAGGAGGCAGCCGCTGGGGAGGGCAGGGGCATGGGAGGCAAGACCACCAGGAACGGGCCAACGAAAATGGAGCTTGATGGTGCCACGGCTCTGGGATCCAAAGTGAATGGAGCTGAGACCACAGACGAGGAGGCCACAGGCCTGGAAACTGTGGAAGCAGCTTCTGTGGGGGCTGAGGCCACAGAGACAAAATCCACGGGGGCCGAGGCCACAGAAACAAAACCCACGGGGGCCGAGGCCCCAGAACCCGAGGCTCTGGAAGAGGGAGGAAATCCAGAGGCAAAGGCCACGGGAGCCAAGGCCACAAAGCTGAAAGCAGAGGAACGGGAAATGAGGGCCAGCGGAGCAGGCGGCGTGGAGGCCGTGCCCGCAGGCACAGAGACCACACACGTGGAGGCCACATTGGTGGGGGCTGCAGTCCCGAGGGCCTCCCCGGACCCGGTTCTCCCCCCTGGTGCTGCGGAGGCCTCCGAACAGCTGCAGGCAGAGCTGGAGACCCGGATTCGCGGCTTGGAGGAGGCCCTCCGGCAACGGGAGCGGGAGGCGGCCGCCGAGCTGGAGGCGGCCCACGGCAAGTGCCAGGCCGCTGAGGCCGAGGCTGGCCTGCTGCGGGAGCGGATGCGCCAGGCTGAGGGCGGCGGAGCGGCTGGGGGCGGTGACATGGTCCAGCTGCGGGCCGCCCTGGAGCAGGCCCGGGAGGACCTCGGAGTCCGGGACGCCCGCCTCCGGGAGCTGGAGGCGGCCTCAGCCCGGCTGGACGAGGCCCGGGCTGGCCGGCTGCTGGCCGAGGAGGAGGCCCGGGGCCTGCGGGCAGAGCTGGCGCAGCGGGAGGAGGTGCGGCTGGAGCAGAGCCGGGAGCTGCAGGTGCTGCGGGAGCAGCTGGCCACGGCCACGGCCGCCGGGGAGAGGCAGCAGGCTGTGGCCGCCGAGCTGGGCCGAGCCCGGGACGCGGCTGAGGCCCGAGCGGCTGAGCTGTCCGCGGCCTGCGAGGAGGCTCGGCGGGGCCTGGCGGAGCTGCGCGAGGCTTCCGAGGCCCTGCGTCAGTCGGCGGTGCCGGCCTGCGAGCACCGCCGGCTGCAGGAGGAGGCCCTTGAGCTGCGGGGCCGGGCGGCCAGCCTGGAGCGGGAGGCGGTGGCCACGGGCAAGGAGGCCGCCCGGCTGCGGGCCGAGCTGGAGCGGGAGCGGGGGCGGGGCGGGGCCAGCCTGGAGCACGAGCGCATCGTGGGCGCCTTGCAGGCTGACGTGGCCCGGCTGGAGGGGCAGCTGGAGGAGCTGGGGCGACGGCATGAGAAGACCAGCGCCGAGGTCTTCCAGGTGAGCGTAGCCGGGCCCCCGCCCAGCACAGCCCGGCCCCAGCCCAGCCAGCAGCCACTTGGCGGCCCGACCCGCAGCCAGGGTTCCAGTCCTGTAGCCACCTGACCCTGTTAGCGTTTCTGGGTGCATGGCTGACCCTGAAACTGTTCTGAGCTCTTGGACATCTCAACTTGTGTTATCTTTTCTTAAAAACCTTTGGCCATCTTGACCCCATCATCTTTCTTTTTCTTTTCCTTTTTTTTTTTTTTTTAAGATTTTATTTATTTGCGTGAGAGAGAATGAGAGACAGAGAACATGAGAGGGAGGAGGGTCAGAGGGAGAAGCAGACTCCCTGCCGAGCAGGGAGCCCGATGCGGGACTCGATCCCGGGACTCCAGGATCATGACCTGAGCCGAAGGCAGTCGCTTAACCAACTGAGCCACCCAGGCGCCCCCCCCCCTTTTTTTTTAAGACTATTTATTTGAGGGGCGCCTGGGTGGCTCAGTCGTTAAGCATCTGCCTTTGGCTCAGGTCATGGTCCCAGGGTCCTGGGATCGAGTCCTGCATCGGGCTCCCTGCTCAGCGGAGAGCCTGCTTCTTCCTCTCCCTCTGCTGCTCCCTCTGCTTGTGCTCTCTCTCTCTCTGTCAAATAAATAAGTAAAATCTTAAAAAAAAAAAAAGACTTTGAGAGAGAGAGGGAGAGAGAGCACAAGCAGGGGGAGGGACAGAGGGGGAAGCAGGCTCCCCACTGAGCAGGGAACCTGATGTTTTTTCACTATGACACCATTTTCTCTGCTGGCCTGTAATCTGCCTGTGGTTCTTCCAGTTGGCTGTTTAGAGCTTGTCATTTTGCCTTGGGATCATCTTTGATTCTTCAGCCCAAAAGTAGGAGGACGTTATGCCCAGAGATTTTTTTAAAATAATTTTTATTTTTATTTATTTTTTTAAGATTTTATTTATTTGACAGAGAGAGACACAGCGAGAGAGGGAACACAAGCAGGGGGAGTGGGAGAGGGAGAAGCAGGCTTCCTGCTGAGCAGGAGCCCGATGTGGGGCTCGATTCCAGGACCCTGGGATCATGACCTGAGCCGAAGGCAGATGCTTAATGACAGCCACCCAGGCGCCCCATGCCCAGAGATTTTTAATCGAATATTTTCAACCCAGTAGATTTTGATGCTGAGTTGTTGGGTTTTTTAAGGCCAGGGAACATATATATACATGTATATATATTGGGAATATATGTATATATATATATTTTGTCCCTCGTGGTGGACATTTGATTCCGTCTCTTCTCTTAAGAAACAAACAAAAGGGTGCCTGGGTGGCTCAGTTGGTTAAGTGACTGCCTTTGGCTCAGGTCATGATCCTGGAGTCCCAGGGGAGTCTGCTTCTCCCTCTGACCCTCCCCCCTCTCATGTGCTCTCATTCTCTCTCTCAAGTAAATAAATAAAATCTTTAAAAATAATAGTAATAATAATAATATTAAAAAAAAAAAAACAAAAGAACCCAAACAAAAAAAACCCACAAAAACTGGCAGGTGTTATAACAAAATATGTGAATAAGAAGCCACATTCATTAGTTGTTGTTGGGAAAGCATTTTTCTCTCCATGCCTCTGTTTACTCACCCCTGGGACAGAGATAATAATACTTCTGAATTCTCAGGTGAAAATTGAATGTTTTAATCTCTATAAATGATTTAGGGCAGTCATAGTATAAGAGATCAGTAAATGGCAGCCAGAATTAACTGATTTTAAAAGAGCGTTTTCTTGGAAAAATAATGATTCTGTTCTAAGCACATGCCCTGTATTTGTCCATTTCCTCCTCACAATTACTCTGCAAAGTGGGGACTGCTATTACCCTGATCTTCCATATGAGGAAACAGACAAAGAGAGGTTGAGTCAGTTGTCTGAGGCCACACAGCTAACACGTCATGAGTGTAAGAAGGGGCCGGAATGTTTGTGGTGTCCGGGAAGAACCCAGCACTCCCTGAGTCAAACTCCTCGATATCAGAATGGGCTTGAATGTCCTCGGGCCCGAATGGAAGGGTCAGGAGACTCTGGGGTCCTCATGTCCTCGGGCTCACGCTCCCTCATGGGCTTGGGCTGCAGGTCCAGAGGGAGGCGTTGTTCATGAAGAGTGAGCGGCATGCGGCCGAGGCGAAACTGGCCACAGCAGAACAGCAGCTGTTGGGGCTACGGACCGAGGCCGAGCGGGCACGCCAGGCCCAGAGCCGTGCCCAGGAAGCCCTGGATATGGCCAAGGAGAAGGACAAGAAGGTGCGTCCCCTTTCCCTGTGCTCCCTTGGGGGGTTCCCACCCAACAAAGGTTGGGGGAAATCCAAGAATGTCCCAGATGAACGAGTCTTGGGAGATCAACCCATTTTCTAGATGGGAGACTGAGGCACAGAGAAGGAAGGGGACAACTCAGACATGTGGGCTACTGTTCTAACTGTGAATTATAACCACAGTTAACATTTACTGAGCACTTACTGCATGCTAGGCCCCGAGCTATGTATTTGACATGGACTAACACATGTAATCCTCACGTCAAGTTCCCATAAGATCAGTGCTCTTATTTTCCCCATTTGAAGAAGCAAGGCACAGGGAGGGGATGCCACTTGCCTGAGGTCACACAGCCATGCAGAGGTTCAGCCAGCGTTTGGACCCAGCTTCCCAAGTTCTGGTCTTCAGTAACGACGATGGTTGACAGCAGGCCATGGCTACTGAGTTGGGTGGTTTTCACACACTATCACTTTTAATTTCCCTCTAACCCCGAAAGCCAGAAGGCATTCTTATTCCTGTTTTCTAGATGAGCAAGCTGAGACTCTGAGAGGCCAAGTGTGACATGTCAGAGTGACAGGTCAGGTCGCTCGCTCATTGGACAGGCACATGACTCCCAGAGCCCCAGGTGCATCAGCACAGAGTCCCCCAGCCCTAGCTCACTATGTGACCTTGAACAAGTCAGTTGACCTCTCTGAGCCTGTTAACACCTTCTGCAAAATGAACATAAAATTGTGGTCGAGATTATGGTTTATTTGTTGCAGGATCTCTCCCCCTCGGCACCTAGTGACACTGGGGTCAGGCCATTCTCTATGGGGGGGCGTCCCGGGCACTGTGGGGGGCTGAGCAGCATCCCTGGCCCCACCCCCTCCATGCCAGGAGCACCCCCAATGTGACAGCCGCAGACATCCCCACACATGGCCTGGGGTTCCCTGAGGGCAGAGATTGAGAACCTCTGATCTGTAGTATAATAATAAAGCTTAGCATTTATTGAGTGCCTGCTGTTTGCCAGGCACAGTGTAGATTTAACCTCCGTTCAGAATCACAGTAACCTGCCAAGGTGAGAACCGTGATTCTCCTTCCTTTACAGATAAGGAAACTGAGGCTCAGAGGGGTTAAGCCGTCTTCCCAAGATCTCCTGCAAGAAAGGGGTAGGGAGGGACCCAAGCCCAGGACTGCCTGACCCAGCCCCACCAGGCCAGGCTGCTTTGGGCCTCCCGTTCTGTCAGCCTCCCCTTTCCAGAGTCTGCAAGAGGGGCTGTGACAGGATCGGCAAACTTCTGGAAAGAGCCAGAGTCCATGTTTTCGGCTCTGACGTGTCAGTGAATGGGCCTGGCAGCGCACCAATGACATTTTATGTACGAGCTCGGAATTTGATTTTCCTATGTCATGAAATATCATTTTTCTTTTGACATTTCCGTCCCAACCATTTACAAATGTGAGAGCCATTCTTAGCTCACGGGCCTAGTTTGCCAGCCTCTAGGATGTGACCTTCCCTCACCAGCCTCTTCCCTAGGTGCTGGGGAGGTCCAATGTCCCGGGCCCCAGGCTCAGGGTGACTGGAGGTCCCCCCTACCCGCCCCGCCTAGATCACAGAGCTCTCCAAGGAAGTCTTCAGTCTTAAGGAGGCCCTGAAGGACCAGCCAGCGGCCCCAGGCACCCCCGAGGTGGAGGCCCTCCAAGGCCAGGTCAAGGCCTTGCAGGAGCAGCTGAAGGTGAGGACACGGGGCGGGGGAGGAAAGCAGTTCAGGATTTTAGCAGCTGTCACACTGGGGCAGGGGCTCTGGGTGTAAAGGGGGCTTTGGGGCGTGTTGGGGGGACCTGCTTTTCTAAGCACCCCTCCCCATACTCACAGCAGGCTGCCAGGGACCACAGCGCAGTGGTGGCCTTGTACAGAAGCCACCTCCTATATGCCATTCAGGTGAGTCCCGCCTGGCCACCAACACCCCGGCCTGTTCTCCCATCTGTACAGGAGCTGAGGTTCATGGCCTTCAGGGGTGGCGCGGGAGGGAACCGGGAAGCCGGGGCAGGAGTGCCCAGGTGCTCTCTCTCTCTGCTTCCCCCCCGCCCCAGGGTCAGATGGATGAAGATGTGCAGCGGATCCTGAGCCAGATCCTACAGATGCAAAGACTCCAAGCTCAGGGCCGCTGAGCATCACAGCACTGACCCTCCGCCCGCCAGGCTCACGCGTGTGGGCGTCCAGGCTCACGCGTTGACCTTCTAAGCTCAGACACCAGCCTGGGCCTTCTCAACTGTACTTAGCTGCGTCCACTGCCCCACTGGTCCCTGCACGCACTGGCCGGTGTCATCCCCAGCCCTGACTGTGCCCTCACCCCCACCGGAGACCCTGTGAGCCCCCTCTCCCGCGCCCTGTCCTGTCGGTCCTGTAACGAGGCACCACCCCGGACCCTGGGAATAAAAGCTCTCGGAGCAGAGGATGAATGTGTATGGCCTGATCGCTGGGCCCCCGCGGTAGGGAGGAGAGGGGTGGCGTAGAACGGGGACTGGCAGGTGAGGCAGTCACCTCCTGCACCAACGACTCAGGCCCCGGAATGAATACTGTGTTCGTGCGGTGTTGTAAAAAGTCAGAAGTCCGTGATGGACAAACCGTCCAAATGTTAAGTGAAGACAGCATCCAAGTGTGCCCTGAGTCACTTGCCTCACCCTAAATCCAGCCCTGCTGGGAGCCTCCCACCCCCAGCCTCCCTGCCCTTGGGCAAGTCCCCGGAAATCCCCTGGGGCTTCTTGGCTCTTTCCAGCTAAGGTGGGGGAGGTGGGAATGTGACCTGTCCCCGGGGTTTCCTTGAGTGTCCGGGGCGGCACTGCGTCTGTAGGGGCTCAGCCTGTCCCTTGGCATCCCTTTGGCTCAGAGAAGGTCCCGCAGGAGGGGCTGCCCTCCCTGGTCTCCGTGGCCTGGAGCGTGGAGCACTGGCCAGGGTGGATCCCCACCCCTGCAGTTGGTCGGTGAGTAAAGGGGTGATTTCTGTGTCCTGCCTGGGTCTCTCTTCACCCTATGTCTCCCTGTCTCCAGGTCTCTCTTCTGTTTCTGCCGCTGGCTCACGGGCTCCCATCTCTGTCTCTATCCCCCTCTCTCTGTGTCTCTGTGTCTTTGCCCGCTCTGGCCTTCCTCATCCTTCTCCCTGTCCTCTTCCCCCTCCTGGGGTTTCCCCCCCGTCCTTGTCCTCGCTGCAGCCGGAAGGAAGGACTTGCAGTCAGGCTGTTGTGGGAAAGGCCACGGGGGCTCCACTTCTCTCTTTTGAGGCCTCTTCTCCCGCCCCCTTGCCCAGGGCCTCCAGAACCTCACACCCAACCCAGCTGTGACAGGTGAAGGGACCAGGGCTCCTCCACCATCCCCACACAGCTCTCTGCTGGCTCCACAAACCGCCCAGGGAGTCAGACCCGGGGAAGGGAAAGGGGGGGCTTTGACCTGGGGCTGCGCGACCACCTCGGGTGGGACCCAAGGCCCCTGCCTCCCTGAGGTGCTCTCGGCCCCAGCTCCTGACAGCAGAGCCCGTGGACTCATGGCCTCAAGACTTCTCCTGGTGCTTGCCCTCTGGGTGGGCTGCTCACCCTGCAGCGGGAGAGAAGGTACGTGGGACCCGCCGGGGGCCTGGGGGACAAGGCAGAAGGACACTACCCGGGGACTGGAGTTGAACTGTCTACCATGGAATATTCTGGGCTGTGGGGTGGGAGCTCACACACCTACTGGATAACCCACGGGTGGGAGGGGGTTGCCATCCCATTGCACAGATGGGGAAACGGAGAAACAGAGGACCAGTCCCACCGCAAAGCGACACCAGGAAGTGGCAGCCACAGCATGGACAGAGGGGGAGGGAAGGAGAGAGGGAGGGAGAGAAGGAGACATTTTAATTACATGCATTCATTCCATGCACTTCTAAACAAAGCTGCTAGGAAGAGGGGCTACGCTGAGACAGCTCCCTCCCACCGGGGCTCCCCGCCACTCGGGTCCCCCCATGTGGTTCCTTAAACCTCAGTTTCCCCATCTGGAAAATGGGCTAATACTCCCTGCCTTCACAGGTTGTAGTGGAGGCGAGAGATGATGCAGCTGCCTTTTTGTTTTTTTTAAGATTTTATTTATTTTTTGACAGAGAGAGACACAGCGAGAGAGGGAACACAAGCAGGGGGAGTGGGAGAGGGAGAAGCAGGCTTCCCGCCGAGCAGGGAGCCCGATGCGGGGCTCGATCCCAGGACCCAGGGATCATGACCTGAGCCAAAGGCAGACGCTTAACGACTGAGCCACCCAGGCGCCCCTGCAGCTGCCTTTCATTTATATATTCATTTGCTGCACAAACCTTTATTAGGCACCTACTGTGTGCCTGGTGCCGACGGCTGGCAGGGAGGCTGGGGCCCGGCACACGTAGGGCTCCGACAATCCCGGGGCAGGCTGGAAGCTCACACGGCTTCCTCTCCCTCCGGGGCCCCAGCAGCCCCCACCCAGCCCAGGGTGCAGTGCCGGGCCTCTAGGTACCCGCTTGCCGTGGATTGCTCCTGGACCCTGCTGCCCACTCCACACTCCGCCAAGCCCACGTCCTTCATTGCCTCGTACAGGTCAGAGTGCCCAGGAGGGTGTCCTGGGGTTTCACGCTGGGGCCAGGACAGCTGGAGGCTTAGTGAGTGCCCGAAACCCTCGGGATTCCAAAGCAGCATGGGCCAATAGAGATATACTTCCTAAAACACAGCCTGCGAGTCACATGTGGAGTTCAAACCCTTCTAGAAGCCACATTTAAAAAGGAAAGAGAAATGACGTGACTTTTAATATTTTGCTTCAGTATCATCTCAATATTCCAAATAATTTATTTAATAGGATCGAGTGCAACTTAACATGCTTATGTGCAATTTATATATGTAAATTCATAATAGAAACTAGTATTATTTAGTGGGATTAAACCAGGATCGTGTCAACATGTAATCAACATGTTACAAGTTAATGAGATATTTTACACTCTCTTTATACTAAGCCCGAAACTCCACGTGCATTTTACACATAGAGCACATTTCAACTCACGTGCTAGATGTTCATGGGGAATCCTTGGTCTCTGATTAGACTTTATAAAATCTGTGGGTGGGAATGTAGAGTCACCCACCTGGGTCGTCCTGAACAACCTTGTCAAGTTTTCTGACCACTGGGAACTTGACATTGAGGGCAGATAAAATAAATCGGAAAGCCGCCCTCGCTTGCACCAGCCACATTTTGAACAGCGGCCAGTGACTACTGCATGTGACGGGGCGGTCAGAGCACGTGGAATGTTCTGGAAGGCTGTATGTGCAGCGCTGAGCTTGTCCCTAGAGTCTGAAATCTTGGGGTCTCAGAACTCCAGGACAGTCAGAATCTTCTTTTTTCAGAATCTGTGAGTCCATAGACCTCGGAATGTTGGAATTCTAAGGCTGGAATGCTGACATTCCAGGAGCCTGTAGAATCTGGACCCTAGCGTCTCCCTGTAGGGTGTTCCCCCTGGCCCTGGGTCCACACAGGCTCCGTGATGTTGGGGTGAATGGCTCCCTCGGGGTCACACGGCCAACAGCAGGACCCCAGCCTGAGGTCCTTGAGTAACCCCGCTTCCCCGTCCGGCGGGAAGCGCTGAGGCCCTCACGCTGCCCCTGCGTGTCCAGGCGCGGCGTGGCTGCCCACGGGGAGAGCCGGCCCTGCCTCCAGCTGACCCCTGAGGCCACCAGCTGCACCATCCCAGATGTCCAGCTGTTCTCCATGGTGCCCTACATACTCAACGTCACAGCGGTCCAGCCCTGGGGAAGCAGCAGCAGCTTCGTGCCCTTTGTTCCCGAGCATATCAGTGAGTGTGGGTGGCAGCGGGGCCGTGGGGGTGCGGAGGGCCGCCAGCTTGCTTGCCCCTCCCCGCTCTCACCACCCACCTCCTGTCCATCCATCCTGGGTCCTGTCGGCTCCACCTTTGCATTTCTTCAAGAAGCCGCCCACTTCTCCCCACACCGAGCCCCCACCCAGCCCAGCCTCCATGTTCGCTTGGACTGACTCAATCCCCTCCACCCTGGTGCCCAGTCCTGCCCTCACCCCCACTATCTGCCCTCCCCACGGTGGCCACCAGAGGGCGCCTGTGAGCACCTGAGTCAGGCCCCACCCTCCCCTGTTGTCAGCCCTTCAGAGCTCCCACCTGCCTGGCGTAAAAGCCCAAGTCTTCCACAAGGCCCCCAAAGTTCTGCACAACCTGTCCCGTCCCCCCCCCCGACCTCCCCTCCTCCCCCTGTCCTCCTCACTCACTCACTCTTCTCCAGCCACACACACCTCCTCTGTTCCTCCAGCATACCAAGTAGGTCCTGCCCCAGGACCTTTGCACAGGCTGTGCCCTCTGCCTGGAAACCTCTTCCCCAGATCTCCACACAGTTCACTCCCTCACCTCCCTCACATGTACTCAGATGTCATCTCCTCAGTGAGCCCTCCCATGAGCACATTATTAAAGACTGCAAACCCTCCTATGTTGCTGGTGATTCTTAAGAAAGTCTAGTAGTTCCTCAAAGAGTCAAACATACATTACCATATAAGCCAGCAATTCCAGTTCTAGGTATATACCCCGGAGAAATGAAAATTATATGTACTCAGAAACTTGTAATGTTCACGGCAACATTATCCATAATAGACAAAAAGCAGAAACAACACAAGGGTCTGTCAACAGATGAATGGATACACAAAACAGGCTCCATTCATATTATGGGACATTACTCAGTCAAGAACAGGAGCGAGGCACCCACACATGCTGCCCTGGGGACAGACCCCGAGCCCTCGATGCTCAGGGAGGGAACCAGACACAGAAGGACACAGTGTGAGTCCACGTGGGTGACACGTCCAGAACAGACTCATCCATGGACGGGAAGTGCATTAGTGGCTGGGGATGGTGAGTGACCGCTGATGGGGACAGGCTATCTTTTGTGGGGTGATGGAATGTTTTAGAGTTAAATAGCTCTTGATCTTCTTCCCTACTCTTGATGCCCCTGGATTTGCTTCTTGTTTCTTGTCTTTTGCCCTGATGGACTGAGCTCCAAGAGGACAGGGGTTGGGTCTATGTTGGTCACTGCTGTGTCCCCAGTGTCCAGGATGCCGCTGGACATTCAGTAGACACTCAATAAATACTTGTTGGTTGATTGGATGAAGGAGGGAGCCTACCAGCAGCCCCTGACCCTGCCTCCTGCTTGTCCGTCAGTCAAACCAGACCCTCCCGAAAGCGTCCGCCTGCGCCCCCTCCCTGGGCAGCGGCTGTGGGTGCAGTGGGAACCCCCCCGGTCCTGGCCCTTCCCAGAGATCTTCTCACTCAAGTACTGGATCCGATACAAGCATCACGGATCGGCCCGCTTCCGCCAGGTGAGGAGGAGGAGGGGAGGAGGGGGAGGACAGCACGTGCCATTCACAGCGGCCAAAAGGCGGAAACGGCCCGAATGTCAGTCGACAGATGAATAGAAAAACACATGCATCCACCCATGCATGGGCAGGTCACTCAGCGGGAACAGGGGTGAGGCGCAGACATGCGCGGCCCCGGGGACGGACCCTGACACAGAAGGCCACACGGGGTGTGTTCATCACGATTCCATTTATGGGAAACATCCAGAACAGGCACATCCCCAGACAGGAAGGGGGTTCTGGCTGCCAGGGGCTGGGGAGGGAGCGGAGAGAGATGGCCGATGGGGACATGGCTTCCTTTTGGGGTGATGGAATGTTCTGGAACTAGAAGGAGGTGATGGTTGCACAACATTGGGAATATACTCAAGGCCCCAAATTGTTCTCTTTAATTGGTTAATTTTATGTCATGTGAATTTCACCTTGATTGAAAACAAATATGTTGTTTAAAATTTTTACAAAGTAGAGGATAAGTAAGGCAAGGGTATTGCCGAGCATCTGTGGTCAGTTGTGTATTAGCCTCAGATGCCAGACCCAGGAGCTGCAAGCTTGCAGGGGGTAGGCTTCTGCGACCCTGTCCCATGGGACTTTCTGGGCCCATGGAAATGTTCTACACATGCACTGACTAAAATTGTACCATGAACCGCATGTAGCTGCTGAGCATCGGCGATGTGGCGAGTAGTCAAGGAACTGGCTTTTACATTTTCTTTAATGTGCATTTGTTTTCTTTTAAATATTTTTGCAATTTATTTTCATTTATATACATACAAATAAATTTTTATTTTATTTTTTATTTAAGATTTTATTTTTAAGTAATCTCTACGTAGAGTGCAACATGGGGCTTGAACTCACACCACCAAGATCAAGAGTCACACTCTCCCAGCACCTGGTTGTCACCGTCAGTTAAGCATCTGACTCTTGGTTTCAGCTCATATCAAGCTCTGCGCTCAGCACAGTCTGCTTAAGATTCTCTCTCCCGGGGCGCCTGGGTGGCTCAGTTGGTTAAGCGACTGCCTTCGGCTCAGGTCATGATCCTGGAGTCCCGGGATCGAGTCCCGCATCAGGCTCCCTGCTCAGTGGGGAGTCTGCTTCTCGCTCTGACCCTCCCCCTGCTCATGCTCTCTCTCTCTATCTCATTCTCTCTCTCAAATAAATAAATAAATAATCTTTAAAAAAAAAAAAGATTCTCTCTCCCTCTGCCTCTGTTCCGCCTCCCCTGCTCTCCTGTGTGCTCTCTCTCTAAAATAAACAAATATTTTAAAAAAGAAAAAGAAAAAAAAGGGAGTCACACACTCTACCTACCAGCTGAGCCAGCCCAGTGCCTCTATTTTTTTGGAATTTTTTTAGTGGTGAGAATGAAGTGATTTTTTTTTTTTTAAGATTTGTTTATTTATTAGAGAGAGAGAGAGAGTTGGGGGAGGGGCAGAAGGAGAGGGAGAATCTCCAGCCGACTTTGGCTTTGCAGGGCTCCATCTCATGACCCTGAGATCATGACCTGAGCTGAAACCAAGAGTCGGACCCATAAATGACTGAGCCACCCAGGCGCCCCTATTTTTGCAATTTTTAGATTGAGACAGAATTCACATGCCGTGAAACTCATAAAAACTGCACAAGGCAAAAAGGCTTTGAGCATATTCACAAAGTTATGCAATCATTAATTAATCTAAATGTAAAACGTAAACGGCCACATCCGGTGCCATCAGGATGACCCAGGGCCGAGCGGGGAGGCGGACAGTCAGATCTGGGGCCAGGAAGTTGGTTGGGGGATGCGGGGGGGTGGGGGGACTGGGATATTGGTCTGTCTTTCTGTTCTGAGGAAGAGGGGGACTCAGAAGGAGGACAGAGCCGCATCTAAGAGGGAGAGTGGGAATGGCGGGAGAGAGATGCCTGAGAGCAGACGCGGAGAGGTCAGCGCCATTGCAAGAATTGATTACATTTCCCCAGAGAAGGGGACATGCCATGCCACACAGGCCCACACGGGCAACATCAGGACGGGAGGGAGGGAGGCAGAAACAGGAGTCCGGGGAGAAAGAGGCCCAGCCAACGTGGGGGGTTCGGTGGGAAGGCAAGGCAGGGCTGGGTGAACCGCTCGCTGGGGGCTGGCGAGCTTGAAGACTTCTGGCCGCCGCTGGGCTGCACTTGGCCGCGGGAGGCTGGAGGGCAGGGGGACGGCTGGCTTGTGTGGGAGCTGGAGGGAGTGGGCTGTGGGTCTGATGGGCTGGCATGTACATGAGAGCCATGCTCCTGGCTGGTAGGCCATCTCTAAGAATCCGCTGACCCCGGGAGGGGCAGTATCTCCCTGGTCAGCAAGATGCGGCCGGTAGCAGAAAGAGAAGATGCCGAAAACTGAGAAACAAGGTTAATACAGCGGGGCCAGGAGGGAGGGAGGCGTTGAGGCTGATCGCAGAGGCTGGGGCTGGGGCCTGGAGGAGGAGCGGGGAGTTGGGGTTGGGGGTCTGTGTGGTCCACAAGGGTGTGGACCAAGGGGGCCAAGGATCAGGAAGGAGCAACGATATGGAGGGGGCCTCGGGGCATACTTGTTGGGATGGAGCAGGGGAACCGAAGCTCCGTCATGCGGTTCCGTGCCCCACGGCCCCTCCCAGCCTCCTTGTTCCCACTGACCTCACCCCTCTTTCCACTCTCAGGTGGGGCCTACTGAAGCCACATCCTTCACCCTCAGGGCTGTGAGGCCCCAAGCCAAGTACTGCATCCAGGTGGCTGCTCAGGACCTCACCGACTACGGGGAAGCAAGTGACTGGAGTCTCCCTGCTGCTGCCTCCAAGCCCCTGGGCAAATAGTGGGGCTCCCCAGCCCCCCCCCCCCGCCCAGAAGAGGGGCTGGGTCCTTGACATCCGCCTCCCACTGCCACCCACTCAAGGACGGACGGGATCCATCTGGCCTGGGTTCACTGCTGCCGAGTCGCTGCGCATCACTGGGCAAGTGACTCTGCCTTTCTGAGCCTGTTTGTCGATCTGTGAAATGGGGATGCACTTCTCCCTTAGGCCGCAGTACAGGGCTCTGTGAACTGTGAACTTCTGATGTTTTTTATTGTTTAACTAAAAAAAGATTGTTGCTGGAATCAGGATTCCTCCTCCTTTCATTTTTTAAAAAGATTTTATTTATTTGAGAGAGCGAGAACAAGCTGGGGGTGGGGCAGAGGGAGAAGCAGGCTCCCCGCTGAGCAGGGAGCCCGATGTAGGACTTGACCCCAGGACCTCGGGATCATGACCTGGGCAGAAGGCAGATGCTTAACCAACTGAACCACTCAGGTGACCGCCTCCTTTCAATAGACCCAGATGAGACCCAGAGGGGAGAGGATGAAGCAGGACACACACACAGGGAATCCCCACTCCCATGGATCCCCGGGGTCAGGGCTGGGCCAGAGGAGGAGCCTGGGGCTGTGGGAGTCCTGGGGCTGCTGAGAGGGTTCTGCCTGGCACAGGGTGAGGGGTGAAATCCATTCACTCAGCAATTCAGTTCACGTACCTCCTGAAAAGCTGCCTGGGGGTGAGCCCCACTATGGGTAAATGCAAATAGGGTATGAGTTTGGGAGGATTTCTCTGGCCAGAGGGCGGGCGGGAAGGGGTGCAAGGCCACCAGGACTGAAGGTGGGAGAAAAATCCATGGGCTTCTCTGTGAATTTCACTCGGGTCTAAAGTCAAAGGTCCTCTTCTCCGAGTAGCCTTTCCTCACCACCTCATGTACGGCCAGCAGTCATGGCCCCCCAAAACATAGCCGCCCCGTAATCCCCAGAGTGTGGGAATACAGTCCCTTACATGGCAAAAGGGACTTTGCGGATGTGATTAAATTAAGAATCATGAGGATCCTTAATTCAAAGATTAAGGATCCTGTATTAAGTGAACGGACGTCATGGCGGGTTATCCTGGATGGTCCAGGTGGCCTAATGACAAGGGTCAGAGGGAGAGAGGGAAGGTGATGGGCCGACAGAAGCAGAGGCCAGAGTGGATACCAGGCCATGAGTTGCGGTGTGCAGGCGGACTCCGGAAGCTGGGAAGGGCAGGGAAACAGATTCCGCCCTGAAGCCCTCTCCCATCCACTTTAGACTTCTCTCCCCTCCACCCTGAGAGAAAGAGAATGAGAGAGAGAGAGAGAGAACACACGAGGGGAAGGACAGAGGGAGAGGGAGGATTCCAAGCAGGCTCCACACTGACGCAGGGCTCGATATCACGACCCTGAGATCATGATCTGAGCTGAGATAGAGTCCGATGCCTAACCAACTGAGCCACCCGGGTGCCCCAACTTTAGACTCCTGACCTCCAAACCATAGGATGATAAACGTGTGTGGTTCTAGGACAGCGAGCTTGCAGTAACCACGCAGCAGCCAGAGGAAGCTCACACACCCTCTCAGGGGCCCCTTCTCTCCACTGACCCACCACTGCTCTGTTGCACCAGGTGGGTTTGGGAGCTGGTGTGCATGTGCAGGGCAGGTGGGTGCGGGAGGGGATGCGTGCATGTGTGAAGGGCAGGTGGGTGCGGGAGCTGGTCTATGAGTCTCTGCCCGGGACTCCAGGTAAACCTGGGGGAGGGCGTCCAGGCTGCTCTGTGGACATGAGCCCGTGGGAGCTGTCCCTGGTCCCCTGGTGCGCGCTCGGGACACAGGAACACGTGTGGCTTCCCGCAGCCCAGCACACAGAGTAAGCACTCAACGCCGACCTCCGTGTTCGCTCCAGAAAGGAGTGAAGAGCAGGGAATGTCGCGAGCAGCGGCCACGGCGCGTCACCACGGAATTTTTGTGAGCTGCTGCTCACCTCTAGGGGGCGCAGAACCTCCCCAGAACTTCAAATCAGCCGACCTCCGGAACCTTTGTCACCCACTAGCGAGGGTGTAATTCGGAAGGGAAGGGAGCCGGATTCGGCGCTTGACAGACGGGGACCAAAGCCAATGAAAAGGGTACCTGATATCCTCCAACCAATAATAGAGTGGAGGAAGTGACGCTAGCGGAAATACAAGGGACGGTCAGCGGAGTTAGGCAAACACCGAGCGTAAGCAGTCTTCTCGTGCTTGTGAGGGAAATAGGAGGCAAAGATGTCGGAGCGAAAAGTTTTAAACGTAAGTATTTGGTGACTAGGGCTTTCTAGCCGGGGCGGGACACCTCGGAGCTCCGGCCTCGGTGGGTTTCCTATGCTCTACTATTGGAACCTTTTTCTCTTCTCCAGCGGTCTTCCGCGGGGCGGGGCTTTCAGAAACCTCCCAATCACCTTCCGTGGCCTTCGGGGCGGGGCTTAACATGTTTGCTCCATCTCTTCGCCTGATTGGTTGTGCCGAAGGGAGTTAGCCAGTCACGTCCCTTGGGGGCGGGTCCGCCTTGGCAGTATTGCCGTTCGCTCCTCCTCCTCCAGGCGCGTGGCTCCGTGAGGCCCCCGCCCCCCTCCCCCCGGGGTCCAGGGGTTCGCGTGCCCGGGGGGCTTCGTCTTTGCTCCGCTCTTCCGCTTCGCTGGCAGGGGACCCTCCCGGCCGCCTCGGCTTCTCCCGACTCTGTTGGAAAACCGGTGGGGGGGCTCAGAAGGCAGGATGCGGCCCCTGAGTTCCGAGTCCCCGTCCGCAGCCCCCGGGAGGGGTGTGTGCTCCGTGGCGGGGAGTGAGCTCCCCGGCCTGGGAGTGTGTAAGCCCAGGATGTAAGGCCAAGAGCCCAGGTTTCCACCGGCGGGCCGAGGCCACTCCCTGCGGCTCCGCGCTCTGATCTTACCAGCAGTTAGGTATCCATCCCCGGCGTCTTCACAGTCCAGGGCAGGTGCTGGACTCCGTGTCCACGAAGGACCTTCCGTCCTGACGGCCCAGCTGGGAGCCCTCTGTCCTCATCATTTCCTGGTGCATACTGCGCCAGCGCGCTGCCCCTCAGATTGCGGAGGCGGACGGGGTCCCTCCGTTCAGATGAGGACCCCGAGGCCCAGGGAGATAGCCAGGGAGAGGAGGACTCGGACCCAGGCCCCTGATCACCGGGCCGCGCTGCTTCCCCCAGAGCCGTGTCCCCTCCGGGACTCAGTTCCTCCTCTGTGACGTGGGCACATCACGCTCTGCCTCGTAGAGGCTCTGCAAGCATTCTGTGAGGCAAGGGCTGTAAAGTGTTCCGTGTAGCAAGCAGCGCCCTGCACCTAGTAGGTGCTCAGAATACGAACTGCTTTATTTTCCGATTGTCCAGTGAAGCTGTTTTCCATGATCCACACCTGCCTTCCGCATATCTCCCAGCTCAGACTCCCGTGCCCGAGCAGCTAATACAGAAGGCCCGAGGCCGCCGTCCCGGCTGGCTTGCCAGGTTGGACCTTAGCTGGCATCTGGGAACTGGAATCTCAGGATGGTTCCCTTGCTTACACTCTTTGTACGAACACCATGGGTCATGCTGAGCACCGGCCGTCCTTCTGGGGTCTGGAACATTGGAAGCTGCGAGGCAGAGGGGCCAGGTGACCATCCCTCAGTGAAAGCCCTGGGCTCCCTATGTGCTGCTCTGGGAGACACCATCTCACGTGTGTGGTCGTATTTCCTCACTGGGGTAATTAACACGTCCTGTGTGATTCCACGGGGAGAAGACTCTGGAAGCCTGTGCCTTGTCTCCCGGGCCCCTTCCGACATACCTTTTCCCTTTGCTGATGCGTCGCTGTGTCCTTTTGCCGTAGTAAGTGGTAGCCATAAGTACGAGTGTATGCTGAGTCCTAGGAGCCCTCCCACCAAATCATCAGACTGTGGGGTGGTCCTGGGGACCTGGGTACAGTTCCTCCCTCTTCTCCTGGCCTGCTCCTGTGCCCAAGACAGCTCCCCTGACACTTTCACTTCCCACAGAAATACTACCCGCCCGACTTTGACCCGTCAAAGATCCCCAAACTCAAGCTCCCCAAAGATCGGCAGTATGTGGTGCGGTTGATGGCTCCCTTCAACATGAGGTGAGTGCCCCCCCATGTGACCCCCCACGTGGCCCCTCACGTGGCCCCCCACATCAGTCCTGGCAGACAGACCCGGTGCCTGACACCCCCATAGAGTGGCTCATCCCTGGCACTCAGACCAGGTCCCCAGTGCAGGCTTAGACATCGACCCAGTGAGTGCGGGACTGTGCCAACCCTCACTTTCCTCACAGATCGGGATTAACCCCCCGACTCAGAGCTCCCAGCCAGTATCTGCCTCAAGATCTTGATTGTGGGTAATAAGCGTGAGTGCAGAGATGGGATCCCGTGTACTGATTCACCGCCTCCAGCAGCCACACTTCTTCATACCGCAGGACCTTTGCACAGGCTGTCCCTTCTGCCTGGAACATTCTTCCTTCTGCTCTCACCTGGTCAGCTCTTCTTCACCTCTCAGGTCTTGGCTTAAACCTCACCCTCTCAGGGGCACCTGGCTGGCTCAGTTGGTAGACCCTCTTGATCTCAGGGTCGTGAGTTCAAGCCCCACGTTAGGTGTGGAGATTAATTTTTTAGAAAATAATAAGCTTTAAAAATATATATTTCAAAAACCTTTTTTCAATAAAATCTTAAAAAAACCGTATCCCCTACGGAGAGGCCCTCATGACCCACTGCCTGACCCCTTCCATGATTCCCTCTCCCTCACCATCCCCAGATCTTGCCCTTTGTACCCCTTCACAATTATCGTGTCTTACCAGTTTGGAGCGTCACGCTTTTTCACGTTTTAGCAAATTGAAGTCGGATACACCCGATCGTCAGACACCTTGTTCTCTGAAACTCAGTGTGTTTTTGCATATCATTGGTCTGTTTCTCTCTCTCCTTCATCCATTTATTTTTAAAACTCAGCTATCGGGGCGCCTGGGTGGCTCAGTCGGTTAAGCGACTGCCTTTGGCTCAGGTCATGATCCTGGAGTCCCGGGATCGAGTCCCGCATCGGGCTCCCTGCTCAGCAAGGAGCTTGCTTCTGCCTCTGACCCTCCCCCTGCTTGTGTTCCCTCTCTCGCTGTGTCTCTCTCTGTCAAATAAATAAATAAAAATATTTAAAAAAAATAAAAATAAAATAAAATAAAATAAAACTCAGCTATCCTTTCAGGCACCTGCTGTGTGCCAGGGCCTAGGCGGGGCAGGGAGGACGCTGTGGGGAACACGCTGCTGCAAGTGTGTGACAGGCGAGTCTCAGCAGGTCTGGGTCGTCTGGGCGCTTTCCCGGAAGGGGACCCTGGGGCCAAGGTCCAGGCACACAGTCAGAAGAGCGCGCCAGGTGGGGGGCATCTGAGGCAGTCTGCCTCGGGAATGGGGGAGCTCCCTGTCCCGTGAGGTATGCCAGCAGCCATCTGCCAGAATGCCAGCGTCCCACCAGTAGGCACCAGGGTGCCGTGATGGCTTGAGTCCCTCTGTCCTGCCCCACAGGTGTAAGACGTGCGGAGAGTACATCTACAAGGGCAAGAAGTTCAACGCGCGGAAGGAGACAGTGCAGAACGAGGCCTACCTGGGCCTGCCCATCTTCCGCTTCTACATCAAGTGCACACGATGCCTGGCAGAGATCACCTTCAAGGTAGACACCAGCCCAGTCGGGCTGGTCCTTCCCCCGGGGGCTCCCTGCTCCTGTCCTCTCCCTCCACGGAGCTCCTGTTTCACCCTGCCCCCAGGAGACAGACTTGTTCCCGGCAGCATTATGTACAAAGGCCCGGATGTTCCGTGACATAGGATTCAGGGAACAGACTGCACCGTGACGTGGCAGCCAGTCACGGTCACAGCCACGACTGTGTTGAGAATTTGGGGGAACGGCCGAGGACCTTACGTTCTGTTGGAGTTTCTTTCTACCAAACGCTCTTCCCTTTGGGTATAAAAAGAGTACATTGAAAGAATTACATGTTTTGATTACTTTTTTCTTTTTAAATTATTATTATTGTTTTTTTTGAAGATTTTATTTATTTATTTGAGAGAGAGAATGAGATAGAGAGCATGAGAGGGGGGAGGGTCAGAGAGAGAAGCAGACTCCCCGCTGAGCAGGGAGCCCGACGTGGGACTCGATCCCGGGACTCCAGGATCATGACCCGAGCCGAAGGCAGTCGCTCAACCAACTGAGCCACCCAGGCGCCCTACTTTTTTCTTTTTAAGATTATTTATTTGAGAGAGAGCAAGCACGTGCACTCACAGGCTGCGGGGGAGGGGCAGAGGGAGAGAGACTCTCAAGCAGACTCCCCACTGACCGCGAGCCCAACGTGGGGCTCGATCTCACCGCCTGGAGATCACGACCTGAGCCGAAGTCAAGAGTCGGATGCTCAACCGACTGCGCCACCCGGGTGCCCCCATTTGGAGTACTTTTTAAACAACAGCTGTAGTGAGATGTGATTCAGATATCCTGCAGTTCACCTTTTACAGTGCATGACCCGGTGGTGTTTAGTGTATTCACGGTGGACTAAACTGACCCTGTGCCCAATTCCAGGAAATTTCCACCACCCCCGAAATGAGCCCCATAACCGTTAGCGGTCGGTCCCCATTGTGCCCGCCCCCGCCCTGGGAGCCACCCGTCTGCTCTCCGTCTGGGGGCCTGCCCGTTGCAGATTTTTTTTTTTTTTTAAGATTTTATTTTATTTGACAGAGAGAGACACAGCGAGAGAGAGAACACAAGCAGGGGGAGGGGGAGAGGGAGAAGCAGGCCTCCCACGGAGCAGGGAGCCCGACGCGGGGCTCGATCCCAGGACCCTGGGATCATGACCTGAGCCGAAGGCAGACGCTTAACGACTGAGCCACCCAGGCGCCCCCCGTTGCAGATGTTTTCCGTGAGTGGCGCCACGCGCTCTGTCCTTGCGCTTGTGTCCTGGTGTGGTTCCGGGCTCCCCCACACCGTGGTGTGTGACGGGGCCCCTTCCACTTCACGCTCAATCACGCTCCAGTGTGGTAGAAGCAGAGCTCAGACGGAGCTGCAGGGCCGGCGCCGGAAATCCACCTGCCGCTCCCCCTGCCCAGCCAGCCCCGTGCCTGGACACAGTACTTCCGGACACACGGCAAAGCTGCAGAGCTGACACAGAGGGTCGCGCTGGCCCCTCGCCTGCTTCCCCTCCCGCCCGCATCCTCCACGCCGGCAGTGCCGCCATCTCTGTCGCAGCAAGAAACCGACACCGAACGTTACCGTTAGCCACGTTCCACACACGACGTGGGTTTCCGTGTTTTCCCTGATGCTGTCTTTCTGCTCCAGGGTCTCATCCAGGATGCCAGCTTATATTTCCCTCTCCATCCTAGAAATGCGTGTAGGAGCATGCTGTGTATGTACTTGATACGTGATTTATAAGTATGGAAAATCGTGAACAGATGCACACGTGAGCACACACACATGCACACACGCACAGAGCAGACAGGAAGGCAGGACACGTGCAAAGGCCCAGAGACTTGTATTCACGGAGGGCGGCAGCAGGCAGGTGCAGAGGGGTCTGAAGATCCATGCTGTGGAGTTTGGCATTTCGTGAAAGAGGACAGGAACACTAGAAAGTAGCGTTTGACCCAGGCATTTGACAAGTAAAGGGGGGCTGCCTGGGGGGCGCAGTGGCTGAGTGTCCAACTCTTGGTTTCAGCTCAGGTCCTGATCTCAGGGTCATGAGATCGAGCCCCGTGTCAGGCTCCATGTCGGGCTCGGCACTCAGCAGGGAGTCTGTTTGAGATTCTCTCTCTCCCCTCTAGCTCAGGCTCGCTCTGTCTCTAAAATAAATAAATCTTAAACAAGAAAAAAAAAAAGACAAGGAAAGGCATGAGCAGGAGTGAGGCATGGAGAGGAGGTGTCCCAGGCTGCTGGCTGCCGGCTAGCAGGAGCTCTTGATGCTCAGGGACATAGGACTGACGTCTGCCCATTCTCCCTTCCAGACAGACCCCGAGAACACAGACTACACCATGGAGCACGGAGCCACACGGAACTTCCAGGCGGAGAAGCTCCTGGAGGAGGAGGAGAAGAGGATGCAGAAGGAGCGGGAGGACGAGGAGCTGAACAACCCCATGAAGGTGAGCTGGGAGCTGCCTACGTGCACCTCTTCCTGCCTCGGCCCCCAGGCAGGGAAGTGGGGTGGGCAGAGCTCCAAGGTGGCCCCGGGAGCCCTGCCTCCTGGTCACACACCCCGTGTAGCCCTGGGAGTGCGCATACAAGGATCTCACTCCTGCGATCAGGTTGTTAGGTTGGGTCACGGTCGACGTCAGGAAAGGGAGGTTATCCAACGGGCCAGATCTCTCACCTGAGCCCTTCATCTGGGTCTAGAGGACATTAGCGATATGAAGGAGCAGGCCTGGAGTGGGGGCCTGCATGGCAGGGAGCAGTGGGGGTCCCCGTCAACAGCCAGCAAGAAAGCGGGGACCTCAGTCCCACAACCACAAGGAACAGAATTCTGCCAGCAGTCCGAGCGAGGCTGGGCCTCGGATGAGACCACCGGCCCCTGATTTCAGCCTGTGGAAGCCTTGTCGGAGAACCCAGCCGCACCGCACTGGGCTCCTGACCCACACCAGCCAGGGGACAGCGAGGTCCCTATGGTGTTAAGCCATTGAGATGGTGGCAGATTGTCATGCAGCCAGAGGAAATGAATATCAGGAGGCAGGAAGTTGGACTTGAGAATGTAGGGTGCTTCCTGCGGCCGGCTATCCCCCAGTTTGCAAAGAAGACGCCCATGACCAGTGGCTGTGAAGACTAGAAGTATGGAAGGAAATGTTCTCTTGAATGTTTCCTGGCTGTGTGACCTTGGGCAAGGCACTTGGACTCTCTGTGCCTCGGCATCCTGGTGTGTCAAATGGGATTGAAGACCAGCCTCAGAGGTTGTGGTGGGGCTTAAGTGAGTTTGTACATGTGAAACTTTGGGGACAGGGCCCGGCACATAGGCAGGAATCCCTGAGTGTTGAAACTCTGATTGGTCCTCTTCAAACAAATCGTCATCTCCCGCTGGCCTCTTCCGTCGGGCCTGACACAGGGTGTTCCGTGGCAAGTGGAGCAGCAGGGAGGGAGGCAGGCTCCGCAGAGGCAGCGTGTGCCCAGAGCCACCTGCGTGGTCATGTCCATCGTGGACCGCCCACATGGCCACAGGGGCTTACGGCCTAATTAGGTACCCCAAAACCGCAACTTAACAAACACCTCTGATCCTCCAGTTTCTGGGGGTCAGGAGGCCCAGGGAGCTGAGCTGGGTGTTCAGGCCTGGGGTCTCTTTTTTTTTTTTTTTTTTTTTTAAAGATTTTATTTATTTATTTGACAGCGACAGAGACAGCGAGAGCAGGAACACAAGCAGGGGGAGTGGGAGAGGGAGAAGCAGACTCCCCACCGAGCCGGGAGCCTGATGCGGGACTCGATCCCAGGACCCCGGGATCATGACCTGAGCTGAAGGCAGTTGCTTAACCAACTGAGCCACCCAGGCGCCCAGGCCTGGGGTCTCTCAGGAGGGCCCAAGTCAAGCTGCAGGCCAGGCTGCATCTTGTGAAGGCTCAGTTGGCCACGCCCCTGCCACGGGGGCCTCTGCACCCTGCAGGACATGGCGCTGGCCTCCCCAGAGCCAGTGATCCAGAGGAGCAGTGAGGAGGCCTTTTAGGGCTCACTCTCAGAGTGGCTCGCTGGACTGGGTCAGAGTCCAGCCCGCACTCACGGGAAGGGGAATGAAGCTCTGCTTTTTCAGGGGAGGAGCATCAGAGAGTTGGGGGGCGCATATTCAAAACCTCGGGCCTGCTGCTCCCCTTTGTACAGGGTCTCAGCCCAGAAGCGGCTGACGCAGGCTCCCCACCCACGCCTCGGACACCCGGGCTGGCCTGGTTCCTCTGCAGCGTCGCAGAGATGAAACAAGCTTACGCTTGGCAGTGTGTCAGCCTGGGGCCTGGCGTGTAACAGTTGTCGTCTTTAATCTTTGTTCCTATTATCTTTTTTTTTTTTTTTTTTTTTAAGATTTTATTTATTTATTTGAGAGAGAGAGAGAGAGAGAGTGGCAGAGGGAGAAGCAGACTCCCCGCCGAGCAGGGAGCCCGATGTGGGACTCGATCCCGGGACTCCAGGATCATGACCTGAGCCGAAGGCAGTCGCTTAACCAACTGAGCCACCCAGGCGCCCGTTCCTATTATCTTTTTTTAAGTAGCTGCACACCCGACATGGGGCTCGAACTCACGACCCGGAGATCAAGAGTCGCGCGTTCCCCTAACAGCCAGCCAGGCCCCTCATCTGTGTTTTTCCTTTTATTTCATGAAGGAGCTGGGTGGACGTCCAACCCTGGGACCTCAGGAGACCACTCCCCGCCCCCAAGCCTGGGTGCTCTGAGCTGGGAAATGGGGGCAGCAGGGGGACCGGGCAGGAGGCCCCTGAGCAGGCGCAGTGGGCGCAGGCAGGCGTGGGCGCTCCTCCCCTGGCGGGCGCTGCCCCCCCTCAGCCCCAGCAGCTGCACGGAGGGGCGGCGGCCCCGCACGCTCAGCCTGGGTCCTGCCCGCCAGGTGCTGGAGAACCGGACCAAGGACTCGAAGCTGGAGATGGAGGTTCTGGAGAACCTGCAGGAGCTCAAGGACCTGAACCAGCGGCAGGCGCACGTGGACTTCGAGGCCATGTTGCAGCAGCACCGCCTGTCAGAGGAGCAGCGGGAGGAGCAGGAGCGGGAGGAGGACGAGCGGGAGGCGGCGTGAGTGGGCCGCGCGGGCCCGGGCCGGAGTCCCAGGGGCTCGACCCACTCACAGCCTTTGCTCGGGCTTCGCCTGCAACACCCGCCTTCCAGATCTTCCGTGGCCCCCTCAAGTGTCCCTGCTGCAGGAGGCCTTCCCCACGCGCCCCCCGTCTCACTTTCTCCCATGGCGTCTGTGTCGGGGCCACCGACAGCACCCCCCGGGTTTGATGATTCGCCCAGGCCTGCTGCGTTCACACTTTCTGCACGGCACTGTCCACCCTGGAACCTTCGCGCCGCTTCACCCATCTCCTGGTTCATTGCCTCCCTCTCTCCCTCCCTCCTCCAGAATCTGGACGGGGGCTTGGTTTGGCTTCTGCGTTCCCAGGGCCTGGAACAGGGCTGGGCGCATAGTAGGGGCTCCGGCGGAACCAGCGGGTGGGCGGGGTGGCGAATAGCCGGGAGAGGAGTCTGCATGTGGGGAGCTCCAGGCGTGGCCCCGACCGAGTCACCCAGCCGGGGTCCCAGCTGAGGCGGACTGCCGCCCTCTGTGGACCGAGAGGATTGCGAGGAGTTTGGGTGCCCCTCCCTGCCCCGCTCACTGCTGTCGGGGGGCTTGGCGAGCCGGGCGGGGGATCGCAGGCACGCGTACCATCCCACAGGGCCTTGGTGGAGGAGGCACGCAGACGCCGGCTGCTGGAGGACTCCGATTCGGAGGAGGACGCGCCTGCTCCCGCCGCACCACGGCTGGCCCTCCGGCCCAAGCCCACCGCCATCCTGGATGAGGTGAGTGCGCCCCTCCCCCCAGTGCTCTCAGGGCAGCAGAGGGGGAGCCCGGCCGTGCCGGAGACCAACTGTGAGTCAGCGGGCCCGGCCGTGTGCCGGGACAACCTTGTCTCCGAAAGCGGTGGCAGGCGTGCAGGGCTGCAGTTTACCGGCCTCTGCTCAGCCGCTGAGACGAGCAGACCCCCAAACTTGGAGACTTAGGAACACAGGTGTGTATTTCTCGGTCCCCGTCATAGCCCTGGGGTGACCGCCAGGACTTGCAGGCCGTGCTGCTCCCAGCGCTCGGGGACCCAGGCTCTTTCCAGCTTCTCCGTCTGCTCTCCTGGAGCGTCGGTCCCAGCCCTGGGGTCACAGCTTCCGGCCAGGGTGGGGGTGACAGGGGTCCCCGCCAGGGCCCCGCAGCTCAGCGTCAGAGGCAGCCCGACTGGTGAGCCGCGGGGGACCTGGGGGCTGAGGCACAGGGAGGGAGGCGGATTTGGCGGGTGGACTTTCCAGCACGGCGTCTCATCCCCGGGGGCCAGGGCCACGCTGGCGTGTTCATCGCAGTCAGGGGCGGAGGCGGGAGGCGATAAGTAGTAGTCACCCAGACACGTTTTATTTTAACTCCGACGTCTTCGTGGTCGGTGCTAGCGAGATGCAGGTTCAGCCACTGGGTGAGACCCAGAGTCACACGGTTGCGACCGCACGGAGGTTACTTCTCTGTTGGAAAGTTGTGCCCGGCCACCCCGAACGGCGTCGGGCCCAGGCTTCTTCCTGGCGGTTCTGCTGGCCTGGGGGGCTGCCCTCCCTGCGTGCTGTCTCAGTAGCACCTTCACATCCTAGCCCGGGGCGAGGGCCCGGCAGGGGAGGCGGGCGTTCGGGGCGCTGTACCCTCGGTCCCACACATCCTGCTGCGCACATCCCGCTGGTCAGAGTCGAGCCACCTGAGCACATCCTGCTGCAAGGGAGGATGGGAAGTGTAGTCCTTCTGGGGCGCAGCCATGTTCCCGTGGGGCTCCCAGGACTGTCCGCAGAGAGAATGGCCCTGGGGGTCGTGCACGCCCATCCGTTACTCTCCAACACAGAACCAGAGCGTTTTCTTTGAGGATCCGTCCCCTGGTGACAGGTCTCACACTGTCTTTCTTGCATAAACCGCTCCCAGAGTTGTCTAAAATTTCCTTTTTTTTCTTTCACGTGGAATGAGATCGGAGCCACTGTGAAAGCAATCTGTGTTTCTTTGCTGCCCCCACGTCTGTTCCAGGTGTCTTCCTCACACCTAGTTTGATGACAGACCTTTTGTTTAGTTTTGCGCAATACGGCTCTGCTGAGACTTCCCAAACGCTCACCGTGACGCTTACGGGAGCCCATCGCCTTCCGCGCCTGTGGCGCCTGCGTCCGTGTCCGTGGTTTCATTTAGTGGCAGCGTGTGCATCCGAGGGACACAGGCTTGGGGAGGGGCTCACAAGGGCTAACGCCGGGGGCTGCGTGAGTCGGCTCAGAAAGCTGCAGCTGGGATCGCTGGCCTCTCCTCACACCCCACTGGACCATGTCTGCCCCGGGCAGCACTCGCGGGTCCTGGCTCCAGCCGAACCAGCCCCCTTGCATGTGCCAAGCCCAGTCCGCCACCTGGAGCATTGTCCCTCACGTCTCCGCTTGTTAACTCCTCCTCGTTCTGATGTCAGCCCACAGTCCCCTCTCTGAGGAGACCTGCCCTGACCGCCTTATCGACTGGCCACTGTTCCCTCGCGCTGTCACGCCACACTGATGTCTGTCTTTGTGTCCCACCACTTGTCAGCACAGACTTTGTCCTGTTGATCTGTTTGCTTGTCCGTTCTTCCTCATCCCTCGGGTGGTGGGCCCCGAGAAGGCAGCACCCTGTCCGTCACGCCCCTGCAGCTCCAGCTCCTAGCTCAGACAGGACCTCCTGAATCCAGGGCGTTCTCGTTCCTCTATTTCAACAGAAAACAGATAAAAGGGGTCCTTTCCTGTACAGTTGAAGGGCTGGAGGTGGGGCTGAGCCCCTCTCTGCCTTCCCTTCACAAGTGCCCAAAGTGGGGGCCTCCATTTTTCCTCATTCCATCAAACATTGATAGAGCATCTTCATGCCAGGAGTTGTTTGTGGCCCTGGGGACCCAGTCATGAACGCGACAGGAACCCCCAGCAAAGATGGGGGGTACGTACTAAGGTAGTGGAGGGCACGGGGAGCGTGGACATGCAGCACTCACTTGATCACTTGAGCCTGAACTGTAAAGAAAGGTTTCCCAGAGGAGCTGATACTTGGGCTGGGTATTGAAGGGTGAGTAGGAGTTCACCAAATGCCTTACAGGAAAGGGGGCATTGCAGGTGTTGGGAATGGCGTCGGTAAATGCACGGAGGGGAGAAGGCGTGGTGTGATTTTAGGACGTGTTAAGTGCAGGGAGGCTGGAGAAGGTGGCCTTTGGGCCAGTCACCCACTCATGTCCCCCCTCACTCTCAGGCCCCAAAAGCCAAGAGGAAGGCGGAGAGCTGGGAGCGGAGTGTTGGCACCCTCGGCAGCAGGCCCCAGCTGTCAGGCCTAGTCGTGGTGAAGAGAACAGACCTCGGTTGCAGCGCCCAGGAGGGCCTGGCGCCGTCACCCACCACCCAGGGTAGGTGCCCTGGGGTCCTGGGACCGGGGTGCAGCGCCTTGGGCGGCCACCAGGTGGCAGCAGCGCCCCCAGTCTGGCCTTGCAGCTTGGGGGAATCCTCTGAGTGGTGGGGAGAGGGGGTGGTGTGCCCCGAACCGGGGCTGTGGGGTCGAAGCCGCGTAGGCTAGCTCTCGCCTCTCACCAGGCCCCGTGCAGAGCGGGAAGCCAGCCGACCCTGCACCCTGGGCGCCCGGCGCCTCCTCCCTGAGCCAGCTGGGGGCCTATTCGGACAGCGAGGACAGCAGCGGCAGCAACTGAGACCCCAGGCCCTTCCCCAGGTCAAGGTCCCGTGTCCAGCTTCAGCTGACGGTGGGGCAGGATGCCTTGGCACCAACCAGAGCCACGCATGACTGGACAAACCCCGACGTCCTCTGAGGCGGCAGGGCCAGTGAGGGCTTTGGCCGACTCGGGTTCTCCTGTCCCCCCACCTGCTGGCCCTCAGGGACCTCGGGGTCCCCAGCTCACAGTGCCGCCCTCCTGGCCCTCCATTCGGGGCTGTGGCCTCCCTGGAACAGTGCTCAGCTCCCGGCAGGCCTCGTGGTCGTCCCTTTGACAGCCGCAAGGGCTCGGCCGTGTTTGGGGGGAGGCACGCAGGAGAACACACCCACCCCTTATTAGCGCTGCCCCCTCCGGCCACAAAACCCGCAAGCCAATGAAAGGAACCACTGTCTGGCCTGGGCCCCTGTTCCGCCAGCTTCTGGGGACGGCCACGGAACCACACAATGTGGCCAATCTGGCCTCTGGTTCTCGCAAGCTGTGAGGTGGTAAAGGCTCGTTGATTAGTGGGTGTTTGGGGAGAATTTGTTATGTAGCAGTAGATCGCCAGTATGTCGTTGGTCACGTGACCAGGAAATCGATTCTGAGGCTCACGTTCTTTCAAGGTTGCCAGACTTCAACTCCGGTATAATTTTCTCCCACTTCACAGTTTTCTCGTTGAAGGTTTTATGCTCCCGCCAGACTCCTTCAGCACATGCCCCCCCAGCTCTGCTCCCCCCCTCCCGGGGTCGCCAGCCTCAGCCCTCCTCTCTCTCTCTCTCTCAAGCACACTCACATTTGTTTGGCATTTGGTAATGAGGCTTTGTGCTTCTTGCTATCAGAGTTTGGGAGATGAGAAGCCCCCACTTTGGGGATCCACTTTCCTGCAATGATTTCTGTGCTTAAGTAGGACTGGAAGAAGCAGACTAGGATCCAGCCAGGCCCCCGGGTCCTCACCTCGCAGCTCCGGGCCTTGAAGACAGGCCCCGGGGCCCTGGTTCTGAAACGCTGATGGTGGAGGGGCTGTGAATCGGTGCCGCGTGCGGGGGGGCCAGCACACCGCGGCCTCTTTTCCCCAAGGTCAGAGTCAGGGTCGCACACGGTGCCTGCAAGGAGTCTGTTCAGACCGGCGGCCAGAGGAAAGCATCCAGCCGAAGAAGCGCTTGTGGAAGAGATGAGGCGTGGGGCCCCCGTTCACTCTGATCCCTTCTTGCAGACTGTTCCCTGAGCTCTTGTCGCTTGTCACCGTGTGTGCGTGCCATCTGTTAACTCTTCTTTACTAAAGATTATGAACTCCGTTCTAAAACACAGATGAGCAAGCTACGGTTGGTGGACCAAAGCCGGCCCACAGCCTAGTTTGTGAACCAAGTTTTGTTGGCACGGCGACGTGCCCGTTTGCGTGTAACGCGTGGCCGCTGCGCTCTGCAGTGACGGAGCCAACGGGCTCACCGTCGGGTCCCTGATAGAGAAAGGTTGTCTGCCCCCCGCCTGGGTCGCCCAGCTCTGCCCTTCCTGCTCCCCACGGCCCCCGGGAAAGGTGCCGACACCCCCTCACCCCAAGCTGCGCTCTCCTCAGCATGGCACGGGATGAGGCACACGGGATCCGCTCAGTGAGGGAAACAGCTGACGTTCGAGAAGTCCTTGCCGCTTGCCTGACCTGTGCTGAGCTGTGCAGATTCACTCGTTTGAGTTTCCCAAAGCAAGTTGCTTGCTAAAAAAAAAAAGGATAGGATTTATATACAAAATATATATTAAAATATGTATAAAATTTATATGTGTAATACATATTGTAAAATTTATAATGTATATAATGTTGATATGGTTTATATATAAAATGTATGAATTACACATAATTTATATAATACCTATTTATTACACATTATTTTATTTCATTGAGCACCTACTTTGTGCCCAGAGCTGTTTGAGGCACTGGGGCTACAACACTGAAGGAAAACTTACGACGATAATACCCTAAAGAAAAAAAAAGCAAAAAACGGTTCCCCCTCGTAATGGTGACGTTGCGTTTGGAAGATGGGGGAGAAGATCGTGAATGTATCTAAAAACAATAATAAGCTATGAAGTGAAGCAAACGCACTGGAGGCCGTGATTGCTCTGGATGAAAACAGGGTGAGGTATGCATCCGTTTGACAGACCTGGAGCAGTTCCTGTCTGCTGCTAAGGTTTCCACTAGAGATGCAAGAAAAAAGTGTCCTCGTGCTTTCTGTCTGTCTCATTATGGCAGTCAAGATTGAATGGGGGAGTACACGGAAAAAAAAAAGAAAACAGGGTGAGGTGGTTGGGAGGGGCGCCATCATGAGGTGTGTGTCTTGCCCACCACCCCCAGTATTAGCTACCCCCGCATAACGAGATCTCTCAGAAGTTCCCAGCGGCAAACACAGGAGTCTGGGTGTGGCTTTGCCAGGTTCTCTGCCTCAGGGTCTTGCAGCTTCCCTTGAGACGTGGGCCAGGGCTGTGGTCTCATCTGAAGGCCCATCTGGGGCCGGATCCACTTCCAAGCTCACTCACTTGTCTGTTGGCAGTTCCTCACGGGCTCTTAGCCAGAGGCCGCCCTCAGCTGCTGGCCTACATGGCCCTCTGAAGGATGGCTTCCTAAAGCCAGCACAACAGGAGTCTGCGAGAAGTGGCATCCCGTCACCTTTGCCATGTCCCGCTGGTTGGAAGCAAGCCACAGGTCTGGCCACATTCAAAGGAAAGGGATTACACGTGGCTGTGACCCCCAGCAGGTCAGGGTCACTGGAGGCCAGCCGAGGGTCTACCTGCCAGACCCCCACCCCACCCCACCCTGGGCAACTGTGAGCTTTATGAGGGTAGCTGTGTGATGAGGGTAGCCCCAGCACCTGAAATCATCCAGGCACTTAGTGGGAACTAAGTGGAACTCACTGAAACTGTCTTAGTCTTATCTCCCCACAGGCTTTTATGCTTCATTCTCCCCTCCTATGACCTGGGAGCCGTTCTCTTGGCCCCAGTTCCTGGTGGGGGTTCCCAGGGTCTAGCAAGTGAGCAGAGGGGTAGCGACACATCAGGGTCTCGAGTGTGTGTGTGTGTGTGTGTGCACGCGCGCACGCTGATCCTCCAGGGCCTCCACCCCCCTACTCTCCCCCTCCTCCCCTGGGCCCCCTCCCACTCTCTGGAGCCTGCCCTTCCCCAGTCACTGCTGACAACCCCCATCTCCCCCCACCCCCGGCACGCTTCATGTCTGTCATCCTGGGGAGCTGTCAGGCCTCACCCAGAATCTCCATCAATCCCCCTGAGGGCCGCCGCACAGCAGAGGGACTTGTCGGGGTGGCCTGCCCTCCTCCTAGAGCCCACTTGGCCTGAGCCTGGGCTTCACAAAGAGACAGGGGCCGCTGCCCCATTTCCCAGGCTCTAACTGCATGCCAGGCTCTGCACCAAGCTCCCTCTACACCAAAACTTGCCGCTCACTCCCTCGGGTACATGCCGTGATACTGCCCAATTTTACAGAGGCAGGAAGCTCCTTGGCCAAGGTCTCAGAGTGAGTGAGGGACAGGACCTGGGTTTGCCATTGCAAGGCTCTGAGGCTACACCTTTAATGACCACACTCCACTGCAACTCTTGCCGATAGAGCCTCCAGGGGCTGGGCCATGCCTCTCCCATCAGATTGGGCACTCGTGACGACAGAGCTATGTCTCCTCCATCAGACTAGTGTCCTTGAAGGCTGGACCATGCCTGCCCTATCAGACAGGGACTCCTAAGGATAGGCTCTTGTCTCCTCCATTAGACTAGGGGCACCTAAAAGGAGGGCCATGTCTCGAATCAGACTGGAAACCCCTGAAATCAGAGCCATGCCGCCTCCATCAGATCGAATGCTTCAGAGGGTAGAATCATGCCTCCCCTATCAGACTGGGAGGCTATTGAGGCATATACTTATCTCCTCCATCAGACTGAGGCTTCTGAGGTCAAGACCATGCCTCTCCCATCAAACTGCAAGTTTTAAAAGGCAAGGGTGTGTCTAGGGGCTTCTTAGAGCAGAGACTGTTTCTCCTATCAGAGTAGGAGCTCCTAGCACAGGGCTACATCTCCTCCATCAGATTATTTAGGCCCCACCATGAGCCATCCCTTCTTATCCTGGTGCCTTGGCTCCCATCCCCCCTCCAGACTGGCTGTTCCATGAGAGAAGGATGAAGGGACAGAGAAGGCAGGCACAGCCTCCCCCCCCCCAAGGGACCCCAACTGGCTCCTTCTTAAGGTCCCACCCACCTAAAGCATATATTGAGCACCTACTGTGTGCCATGCAATAGAATATTATTGGGCCATAAAGGGAATGGGGCGCTCACACATACACACACACGTGGATGGACCTTGGAAACACGATGCTCAGTGAGAGAACCAGACACAAAAAGCGACATAGGGTGTGATTCCATTTATGTGAAAGGTCCAGAACAGGCCCACCCAGAGAGACAGAAAGCGGATTAGAGGTGCCAGGTGCGGGAGAAGTGGGGAGAATAGAGAGTGCCCATAGGGATGGGGTTTCTTGTTGGGGTGATGAGAATGTTCTGAAATGAGTGGTGATGGTTGCATGATCTTGTGAACATTCTCAAACTGAAATGCACACTTCAAGTGGGTAAATTGTTGGGCATGTGAATTGTATCTCAAAAAACAAAACAACAACAAAAGATGCTCCGAACAGCGCCCAGAAGCGCTCAGTGGAGGTTAGCTGTTCTTCTCCCATCTCAGAGATGGGAAAACAGCCCGGGTCACCACCCAAGGTCAGGAGAGCTGGGATTCCGGAAACTGAGCTGCACCCAGGAGATGGCCCTGATACACTGCCTCTCGAACCACGGGGGTTGGGGGGAGGGAGGAAGCCTCAGCCTAGGACCCCTAGACCACCCCACCTGCTCGCCTTCGTCTGCGCAGTGCCCCCCCCCCCCCGCTGCCCATCAACACGCAGAAACCCAAGTTCCTGAGGTTCAAGGGCACACCGCAAGGTCGCCAGCCCCCCAGCCTGACTCTCCTTATCCATCATCTCCCGCTCCTCTCTCCTCCCGGAACCCTTTGACGGCTCCTCTTCTTAGGGCGGGGGGGGGGGGGGGGGGAGGCGGGCAGCCCCAGGAGAAGCCAGCTCAGAAGCGCAGGAAAGTCAAACGCCGTTTGATTCTGCCTCCGGGGCCTCTAATTGCTATTCCTGACACACCCTGTAATTAGAAGGCCCCTTTGAAATATTTATACCTCAGACGTCTCGTATTTATCCGCCAGGGAGAGGGCTCAGATTTGATGAGATCTGTCAACAGCTCATCCCTGAGCCGGGAATTGCCTTGGGGCTGACAGAAAACAGGACAATTACCTGCCGTGCTCCCCAGCAGTCCCCAGGGACGCTGTCTTGTCGCTGATCAGAGGGGGTGGGGTGGGGGGGGCATGGAGGCACTGCAGGAGGAGGACCGAGTTCAACAGGTTCATGTGGGCGACACGGCCAAAGCTGGGGAGAGGACATATGGAAGCCCCTGCTGCGGTGAGGGGCTTTGTCTGCTCAGCTCTGGACCTCAGTGTCGTCGCCTGGAAAATGGGGCTAACAGTGGGGCAGAGGCGGAGAAACGCTGATCCCATGAAGACACTCTAGTGGGTCTCCAGTGCCACCCCAGCCAGGCCACATCGGGACGTGCAGGCAGACGTGAGCTGTGGGGTGGCTCTGAGCAAGTCCTCCCCGTCTCTGTGCCTCAGTTTCCCTATGGGAAAAAATAACTCCCTTCTGGCGATCCTTCCTTGAGCTCTCTGGGGGTTTCCTGTTAGAAACCAGGAAAGCAAGGCACAGACAGCATAGACATGGCCCCGACCCACTGTTCTTCCCCAGGGGCATTTTCCCACCAGTATCAGCTCTGACTTCCGTCTGGGTTTCCCTCCCCTCCAAGCCACAGGCACAAGCCCACCCTGGGGTCGGGGGGGTGGGGCACTGGGAGAAGGGAATCTGCAGCCCCATTCTTCCCGATCACCCCTCTCTTACTTCAGTATTAGGGGGAGCTGAACAAGCCCCCTTAGGATGAAAGAAAAACCGTGTTTGCTCTGGAATTGGCCAGCACACCTCTTTGCTTCCCTTACCCCAAACCTCTTAGTGTCCTCGCCCCCAGACAGCTTCAGCGCCAACAGGCAGCCTGGCCAGGCGAGACCCCTCTCATTTCTGTCCCCCCTCCTTGACTCCACCCCCAGAAGCCACAAAGGGACAGATGCTGAGGACGCGCCGGGCACTGATACCATCTCCCTTCCCAAGGCCAGCTGCCCCAGCCCCCTTCCCCCATGCTGCAATTAGTCCCCTGGGCGGGGCGGGATTGCAGAGAAGAGTCCTCTTGGGAAGGGGACGCCAGACCTCCCTCCCTCCCGTTGCCTCCCCGCTTCCTTCAGCTGCATCAACATCAATTTTAGCCAGTGACCTCTGGAACGATCTGCTGGTCAGTTGCGCCGCCAGAGACTGGTTCAATTTCAACCCTCAACAGTGGTCGCTCTCACCCCATCTGCTGGTCAGTTTCACCCCCTCTCGCGGTCGCATCCAGACCCCCATTCCCCAGCCAATTTCCACCTCGCCTCGCTCTCCCCGCTGCTCCCCGCCTCTGCACCTCTCGCTCTCCTGAGCAAGGCCGGCCCTGTCCGCTCCCACCCCCCGCGCTCCTCGCTCGCTCCTGCCAGCCGCGCTCCTCCGGGTCAGTGTCCAGCTGCCGCGGCCTCGGCCCCGCGCCTCCCGCCCCGCACCCCCCTCCCTCGGCGGGCAGCGCCTCCCCTCCCTGCCCTTCCCAGAGCAGCTGAAGGTCTCAGGCACCTCCGAGGGGGGTGCAGGGGGAGCGGAGGGGGCGGGGGAAGCCGCGGAGGGGGAGGCGGGGAAGCCTTGACGTCGCAGCCCGGGACGCGGCCGGGGGCCGGTAGGGGCTGGGGCGTCCGCCTGCGCGCCCCCCCCAAAGTCCCACCTCCCGGCCGCGGCGGGGAAAGTCTCTCCGAAAGCGTGAAGGGGGATTGCAGGAGGTTTTATTTCCCTTTGTGCAGGTGGCTGGGGCCGGATCGAGGCGGCCGGGCCGGGGGCCGCGGGACCCGGGTTCCCCCCGGAGCGGAGAGGAGCGCAACAAAGGAGGCGCCGCGCGGAGGTCACCGTCCCCGCGGCCCAACTTTGCGCGCGGCGCCCGCGCCCCGGGGGAGCCGGCCCGCTGCGCTGAGGACCCAGGCGTCCGGGCTGAGCCGGGGTTGGGGGCCCCCGCGGGCGGCGCTTTCCCCGACTCCCGGCCGCAGAAGGGAATCCCGGAGCTTCCCGGAGGCGGCGGGCGGCAGAGCCGCGCACGGGGACCGCGCTTCCCGCGGAAACTCCGCGCGCTTCCGCGGATGCCCCTCGCCCTGGCCCGGCCACCCGGCGCTCGGGGTTCAGGGCCCTGCGGGGCGCCCCCTTCCCCCGCCGTCCTTGAGGAGCCGGGCTAAGGTGGACTTTTGCTCTCCTTCCTCCTCTTCCTCCCTCCGTCTCCTTCTTCTCTCCTCTTCTCACTGCCTTCTGAGCCCAGCCAAGGGACACACCTGATCTTTCTCCTCTCCCTTCCTCCTCTCTCTCCTCCTCCCCCTCCCTCCTGCCCCCCCCTCCTTCTCCCTGGGGACTCTGCGGAGAAAGGGGCCCGGGAAGGGGGCATGTGGGTCCCCCTCTGACAGTGGCCAGGTTTGGCACGACACACGCACAGATGGCCAAGTGGCTGCGGGACTACCTGAGCTTTGGCGGTCGGAGGCCCCCTCCGCCGCCGCCCACCCCCGACTACACGGAGAGCGACATCCTGAGGGCCTACCGCGAGCAGAAGAATCTGGACTTCGAGGACCCCTATGAGGACTCAGACAGCCGCCTGGAGCCCGACCCCGCCGGCCCCGGGGACTCCAAGGGCCTCGGAGGCGCCAAGTATGACTCTCCCAAGCACCGGCTTATCAAGGTGGAGGCAGCGGCCATGGCCAGAGCCAAGGTCTTGCTGGGCAGCCCCGGGGAAGAGGTGGGTGGCTAAGTCCCAGACTCTGGGTGGCCCCAGGAGACTGGGTGGGGCGGGCCAGGCTGGGCTCCCTGGATGTGGGGGAACCTTGTTTTATGGGGCAGGCGGGGGCACCAGCCAGACACTCCCCAAACCCCCACCTGCTTAGTGGAGTCTGATTTCTGTCCCTTTCCAGGGCTCAGCACTGGTTGTCCCACTATCTCTCTGGCCCTGCTTTGTCCCCCTGTCCCCTGCTCCCTGTTCCCCACCTCTAGTCCCCTCCCCTCAGCTTCCCCAAACAGATCTGAGTGAGTCACTCCCCTAGCAAGCCTTGGAACCCCCACCACTGTGCCCCTCCTCTGTCACGATTCCCATTTCACAGAAGTGGAAACCAAGGCTCACGGAAGAGGAGCAACTGGCCAAAGGTCACAATGGCCCTAGCTTGTTAGAACTTGACCCAGATCTGCCTCCAATGCCCATGCTTTTTCCAGTATTTTTGCCAGAGGATCAGGGAGTCGACCCCAAACCCTCCGTGGAGACAGAGAAGGATTTGAGGAGGCTGTGTTGGGCAGTGATTAAGAGCACAAAGGAAGGAAGGAGGAGGCAGGGACTCCGGAAGCCGACCACCTGGGATGAAACCCTGCCTCTTACCAGCTGGGTGACCCTTAGCAAGACACTTATCCTCTCTGTGCCTTGGTTTCCTGATCTGTAGAATGGGGCTAATGTACTTACTGGGTGTTGGGATTACAAGGAAACATGTGAAGTATTTAGAACAGCGCTGGCCGCTGATAGACATTACAATTATTTTTTATTTTTTTAAAGATTTTATTTATTTGTTTGAAATAGAGAGCGCGCGGACAAGCGGTGTGCGGGAGAGAGGCAGAGGGAGAGGCAGAAGCAGGCTCCCCACCGAGCAGGGAGCCCAACATGGGGCTCAATCCCAGGACCCTGGGATCATGACCTGAGCCAAAAGCAGATGCTTAACCTACTGAGCCCCCAGGCACCCTGACATTAAAATTATTGAAGGAGGGAGGTGGGGCTGTGCGTCAGGGAGGCAGAGAGGCGGGGAAGCTGGCATCCGAATGCAAACCCTGGTGGGTGGGAGAGAGGACTCCCTACCCCGGGACAATGAGCTTCGTGGAGGGGAAGAATTACACGACCCAGAGAGGTGCACCATCACCCAGGAGGGGGTGTCTATGGCTGGGCTTGGTCCCCCCCACCCCAGCCTTTGCCACTCCTTTACTTCTCTACTTCTCTCTCCAGTTGGAACTCGACACGGAGTATTCCGACCCCTTTGATGCCCAGCCTCACCCACCACCTTCAGATGATGGTTACATGGAGCCCTATGATGCCCAGCGAGCTGTGAGCGGTGAGTGAGCAGGGCTTTCGGGAAAGGGACTGGGTCCCTGGTGGGTGTGGGAGCTGACCAGTGTTCTTGGCCCCCCAGAACTGCCATGCAAGGGGGTGCAGCTGTATGACACTCCCTATGAGGAGCAGGACCAAGAGCCAGGAGATGGGGCCCCTTCTGGGAGGAGACCTCGCCAGAGCCGGCTGCCTCAGGAAGATGAGCGGCCTGCGGATGAGTATGACCAGCCCTGGGAGTGGAAGAAAGACCACATCTCCAAGGCGTTTGCAGGTGCCCTTCCGACCCAGGCCTTGACCCTCCCCAGGCCCTGAATGTCCATGTCCTTCAGTTTCCTGCTCTGGTCATATCCTCTGATTCAACTTATAAAATAGACCCTAATCACCTGCCACTCTGGTAGTTTATTCATTCTCACTAAAGTGTGAATGGCTGATAATTGTAAATTTATCTTCCTAGGAGAACTTGTATCTTCCTTGAGGAGAGAAACTCCTTAGGGCACCTGTAGTGCTCACTGTAATATAGGGATGGGTTTTGGCATCAGGTAGACCTGGATTTGTGTCACTTACTTGGGAAAGGTGCTTTATCTTTTAGTCTCAGTTCCCTTACCCATCAAATGGGGATCCTTATAGCAGCTACAGAACAGGGAGCATGTAAACTGGGTGCTAGAAAGTGCTCACACGGAGCTGTGGGGGGACAGGGTAGCATTTCTTAGTAACTATCATTAGGTGGGCTTGGGGTCAAGTCCTGAGTTGGGGAAGCATGGACAAGTCTGTGGCCTCAGTTTCCTCTTCTGTAAAAGGGTAACAGTACTACGGTCAGCTTTAAGAATAAAATAACTTGGACCAGGAAGTGTTGTGCGAACCCAGCTTGGCCCCAGAAGTTGTACGACTGGGAGGGACACTGGGGTTCAGTGCCTCACTCTACCTGTCCACACCTGGGGCGGGGGGGTCTAGCTCTAGGGCTTGGCCAGAATCTGCAGAACGACCAACCCATCCCTCTAAGGCATCCCTCGTCCCTCGTGGAACTGGCCGGCCCTCGCCAGCCACCACACTTAGGAGTGACCACACCCCTTTCTTCTGAAGGCTGATCGGTTGCTCCTGGACCAATCCTACCCAGCCCTTAAACCCAGCCCCTCCTATCCTGGATTCTGATAGGTTGCCCAAACTGGCACCGCCTTCCTACTGAGAGTGCATTGGCTTACCCCGGCCCCGCCCCTCCCTGGTGGGTTGGACTTAACCCTTTCCTCTCTAACCCTCCCCCCCAGTGCAGTTTGACAGTCCTGAGTGGGAAAGGACCCCAGGCTCAGCCAAAGAGCTCCGGAGACCCCCATCCAGAAGCCCCCAGCCCGCAGAGCGCGTGGACCCGGCCCTGCCCCTGGAGAAACAGCCGTGAGTGGGGAAGCTGACGTTGGAGGAGCCGGGTTGAATCCCTCTCCGTCCCGTACCAGCTGCAGATTCCACTCCTCGGACTGGGGGGCTGGGGGAAGTATGACTCATTCATTCACTTCATTCCTTTCTTCCACTATCTTCATTGGGCGCCAGAGCCTGCCTGTGTCAGACACCTAGCCTAGGTACAAAGCAGAATCACATGGTGTCTCATTCCTCTGGCATCAGATTCTGGGTTCTAATCTCTGCTCTGCATCTCTTGGCTGTGTAGCTTTGGGCAAGTCACTTAACCTCTCTGAACCTAGGTCTCAAAACCCCCAAGATGGTGCCCAGCTCAGAGTAAAAGGGGATGTTCTCCGTTTAATTGGATGACGCTCATGAGCCTGAGGGTAAAGAGAAATCATCCCCATCCCCAGGGGATCTGGGGATGGAACTAAGAGGAGCAGGGTTTTGAGGGGGTCCCAACTTTGGGCTGGAGTGAGGTGCACCAGCTGGGAGGGTCTGGGCCTTCTCTGTGTCTCTCCAGCCTAGCAGTTCCTCCAGGAACTCCCTAAAAGCCCAATGAGCCCAGCCCAATGAGGTGGGGAGCTAGATATTTCCTTTAAACCCCTCCAGTCCAAAAGATACCGTGGTGTGTTTATCACAGTTATTCCCAAACCCATTAGGTGGGCCATACAGAACTGACTGATGAACGCTGAAGTACAGGGGGAGACGTTTCTTCTCTGTTCAGTTTTCTTTCAATACAAAACCCGCGAAGTCTGTTTGGCGCTCCTGTGTGTGTGAGACCTTGCTCGCAAATGCTAACCTCTCTCGGAGTCCATTCAGTACAAATATTAAGTAAAGGATGGAACAGGTGGGTGGGGATACGGGTTGTGGCAAATCTCTAGAAAGCCAGATGCAAGTGATTCAACTTGAGGGATTAGGGAAGGGGAAACAGGACCCTGGGGACCTAACCTAGGGAGACTGTAAAGATCAAGGTCAGCTGTATCTATTGAACTGGAGGGAGCAGCTCCACGTGGACCTGGGCTCAGCTGCCTTGCAGGGAAAAACCGTGTCTGCCTGAAAACTGGGCTCCCCTTGAGAAACCCAGGGGACTTGTTCTCACTTGTTTGCCTGGAGCTCACAAGTCCTGGAAAGGGCTGTGCCTGCACCAGCCCCCAGGGGGTGTTTGCAGGGGGATTGCCCTTTATGAGACATCTGCCCCCACCCTCTAGGTGGTTTCATGGCCCACTGAGCCGGGCAGATGCCGAGAACCTCCTGTCTCTCTGCAAGGCAGGCAGCTACCTCGTGCGGCTCAGCGAGACCAGTCCCCAAGACTGCTCCCTATCCCTCAGGTGAGGCCCCAGCCCCCTGAAGGGACCGAGGCTCACAGGACTACCTGCCTCGTGCTTTCGGGTTAATTCGGTGGGAGCAGAAGGTGGCGCGAGCGGGCGGGGCTTCCATGGCTGCCCAGCAAAGCTTTCAGAACCGTGGAGGGGACTTCTGGGACCAGTGGGCCAGAGGGTGTGGCTTCCACGGAGGCCACAGGCAGGGTTCCAACTAAGAGTGAGCCCCCTGTCACCGGAGGTATGCAAGAAGGCGGAGTGGAAGCCATCCAGTAGATCTAGGTTGTGGGTGAGGTGGGGAACTAGATTATTTCCTTTAAACTCCTGCAGTCCAAAAGTTGAAGTGTCTCTCGGGGCCAGAATCTCTGAGTGGCCCTGTAGGCATTTGAGTTTGAGATCCTGATTGTACGTACTTCTCTGCCTAAGATTCTAAATGTGTCTGATTATAACAAGCTCCAAAATTCGACTGGGCATCTGATTGTGAGATTCCTGAAAGGGCAAGATTGAAGAGGGCTTGGAGAATTGCTTTGAATCCTGCCTCTGCCACTTTATAGCTGTGTTACCTTAGCTAAATTCCTCAACCTCTCTGGGCCTTGCTTTTCTCATCTATGAAATGAAGATACAAACAGCACCTACTTCATGGTAATTTGCCATGATTAAATCACACACAAACACACACACAGAGGAATTGTTGAGCCTAGTGTCTCGGCAACAGGAAGTGTTTTATTCATATTAATGATGATAAGATCATTCCCAGGTTCAATGTCATTCAACTCACCAGAGATGTAAGCAAGGAAAGGGACCCCAGCCTTTAGAGCGGACAGGCGGGCAAGGCATCCCTGCCAATGGGGAACAAGCCCAGAGCTTGGCACCCAAGTGGCCGTTTAGCAGAAATATTTGGGAATGCCAGCCACCAGCTTCTGGGGGCCACGGCGGGGGGGCCTTAGGGTCGGAGAGCATGAGCAGGTCTGGGGTGCTCAAGGCACTCTGACGCCTGTCCCCCAGGAGCAGCCAGAGCTTCCTGCACCTGAAGTTCGCACGGACCCGAGAGAACCAGTTCGTGCTGGGTCAGCACAGCGGCCCCTTCGCCAGCGTGCCAAAGCTGGTCCTCCATTACAGCTCCCGGCCGCTGCCTGTGCAGGGCGCTGAGCATCTGGCCCTGCTGTACCCGGTGGTCATGCAGACCCCCTGACCCCAGCACCTTCAGCCCCTGCCCTGCACCGGGTGGGCCCAGAATCACTGGCTGCAAACGCTCCAAGTCTTTCCAGAGACTCGCCACCCCTCCAGGTCCTTGGTCTTCATCAGAGCTACCTTCTTGGCCCTCTCTTGGGTGCTAGGGACCAGAATTGTGTCTCCAAGCACTCCCCTGGCCTGGAAAATAAATAAGTTATTGTGTATTTCAAGTGTCCTTTCTGGGAGGCGGGGATCCCAACTCCAGGGAAAGGAGAGGATGAGTGACCCTTAGACCCTTAGGGGGGAATGGCATCCCCAGCTGGGGGTGAAGCCTGAATTGCTCATGGGGGCGGCGGGGGGGGGGTTGGGGAACACAAGTAAGAGAGCTGGGGGCAGGCAGGGAGAGAGCGTATGAGGTCAGAGGAAAACCCGGACACAGCTGACACAGACAGATACAAAGATGGAGAAACCGAGGGGGGAGGCTCTCAGGCCGGCCCTGCCCCCACGCAGCCCCTCCCTTGCACCTGGGCAGGCAGCCGAGGCCTGCTGCTGAAAGGACATCTGTCCCCATGGAAACAGCAGAAGTGGGGGAGGGGAGCTGATCCCAGCTGGTGTCACTTCAAGGTGACAGTCGGGCAGGAGACCTGGGGGGCTGATGAGTTCCAGGGAGCCCCGATGTCCCCCGTCACTCTTCATCTCCACAACGACCCAGGGAGGGGGGTGCTTCCAGCTCAAGGTGCTGTGTGGAGGTCGGGGGCATCACTTCTCTGCTAATTGGACATGACTCTCCAAAGATAAGAGGAGGGAGGTGGCCAGTCATCACAGAGCCCCCTCACCACAGTGGACTGTCCCCCAGCCATCCTGGGGCTCAGGAACCCCCAGACAACCCCTCAGATATCTTTAACACCCCCCAACTCACAAAATCTGGCTCTCCTTTATAAGCCTTTATTGAGCGCCCTGCGGGTGAGGGAGGAATCCGGCCTTATAGTAATGAGGACGGGGTCTTGGGCTGGGCCGTTGGACTCCCTGACTCTTTGGGAAATCAATCACATCTTCACGTGGCCATTGGTGGGAGGGGATCTCTTCTGGGGTTTCGAGTCCTCTCCCCACCTCAAGGAGCCCTCTTGGCCACTGCTGCCCAGAGGGGCGTGGGTCAGGAGAGACGCCGACGGTAGATGTGGGGTGACTCGACCTGGGGCTGGGGCTGGGGCTGGGCCTGGGGCAAGGCTTCTGGGCCAGGCGCTGCTGGGGGCTGGGAGGCTGGGGCAAAGAGATGGAATAGAAGCTCTGACTCTTCTGGTCCTCCCTGGGGATGTCCAGCACCTGCCCCTCCACACGCCACGCCTTAGTCTTCTTTGGGGCGCTCCGGGGCTGGTAAAGGACGTTCCCGTAGAGAGGATGCCCTGCAAAGGTGGGAGGGAGGGATGACACAGACTAAGAGGGGAAAATCACACGACACAGCCTGGCTTTCTCCCGCCTACCTCTGCTCTCGCCCACCGGGCGCAGCCCCACCCGCCCTCCTTCCAGAAGGGGCCGATGGGGCGCGCTCGGCGTCCGGGTCAAGCGGCTGCAGTTCCCGCCTCCGCCACGCGGGGCAGGGGCGCCGGCGGGACCGTCTGCCGCCCTCCCGCCACCTGCGCGGTTACCTGAGTCCTCGCGCCGGCTGCGACGGCGGCCCCAGACCCAGGCGCTCAGCGCGAAGGCGGCCACGGCCACGCCGCCTGCCACTAGCGGCGCCACCAGGAGTCCTGGGGAGGGGAGTGCGGGGCGGTCAGACGGGGGGCGGGGCGCGGGGGCTGGAGGCGGGGCTCGCGGCCGGGGCTCACCTGAGTCGACCGGGGTCTGGTTCGTGGGCTGGCCATCTGCAGAGAGGAAACCTGTGTCTCGGGGGCGCCCCCCTTCGAGTCCAGCCTCCACCGTTCAGAGCTCCCCCCATCCCAGTGGGACGTCAGCCTTCCGCCCCTGCCTTGCTGCGGGAGTCCGGGCAGGTGTCCCTCCGGACCCGTTTCCTCTTCTGAAAAACGAGGCGGCCCATTTCTGCCTTGCTCGGTTATTGTAAAGTAATCGCCGAATGCATTTTTTTCATCATGAGCTCCACCATCCTTGCCATGAACCCCATCACCCCCACAATAGACTCCACCACTCCCATCACAAGCCCTCTCGTCCCCATAAGCCCCATCACTGACATCATGAGCTCCATCATTCCCACCGTGAGCTCCACGATCCTGGTCATGGGATCCACCATCTTTACGGCTCCTGTATTTTGAGCTCAACTCTGCCATCAAGCGCATTTTACGTACAAGGAAACAGTCTCAGCCTGAGTCACTTGCCTGGGGTCATGCACCCAGGCAGCAACAGTGCCTTGCTTTGAACAAAGGTGTTGCTCACCTCAGCTCCCCTTTCCTTTTCTGTTTCAGGAAAAAAGAAAAGAAAGAAAAAAGAAAAAGAAAGGAAAGGAAGAAAAAGCTTATCCTGTCCTGACCTTTTGAGTCTTGCTGAGTAATCAGCCTAACAGACATAAATAATCACTTAGGTTTACTGAGGACTTGTCATGTTCCAGACCCTGTAATAAACTCTTTGGATATAATTAACTTCAAATTCACCTAACCCATGGCTAAGGAAACAGGCACAGAGGGGTCAAGTTACTTGCCCAAGGTCACACAGCAAGTGAACAGCAGAGTGGGGACATGTTCCCAGGTCTGTATAGTTGATATAAACTCCAGCCAAAGGCTCCTGGTGTGACTAAGATGAGGCCCAGTGCTCCTGACCTCTTCGCCTTGTATGTTTTAAAGTTGGCGTCGGGGGGCACCTGGGGGGCTCAGTCGGTTAAGCGTCTGCCTTAGTCCGTAGATCGTGATCCCAGGGTCCTGGGCTCGAGCCCTTATGTCGGGCTCCCTGCTCCGCGGGGAGCCTGCTTCTCCCTCTGCCTTCGCCTCTGTGTGTGTGTGTGTCTCATGAATAAATAAATAGGATCTAAAAAAAAAAAAGTTGGCTTTGGTCCCTGGGGGCTACCAAGCGCTGTTGGGGGGAGTGGAGAGCCAGCTGTGTGTGGCTGGAGGCAGACCGGCCGCATCCCTGCAGATGCCGACAAGGCACAGCCTGGTGCCTCTGCAATCCAGATTCTGCTAATTGGTAATTGGCCCTCTCATTACTAGAAGGTGGGGGCAGTCACGACAGCCATAAGGCATGGCCCTAGAGGCAGGCGGTGGGAGGGTCCTGCCAACAGGAGAGGAACGGGCATCTCTTTGGGCCAGGAACTGGGGAGGTGCTCCATCCTGCCTCATGGGTCCAGGCATGTGCCCGAGGCCCTCAGGAACCACTGAGAGAGCACGAGCCCCCTCTGGGTCTGCTGGAGTCTCCAGGCCCTATGCAGCGTTTGGCCAAAGTGGGTTGTCATGCAGAGTAGAGGGAGTGTATGACCTGGGCTTTTGAGAAAGCTGGCTGCATCCCTGGCTCATGTATGTGGCTGGACACGTCTAGGCCTTCTCTGGGCCTCCGCTTTCTCATCTCCAAATGGAGGCAGCTGGCTTAGCTGAACTGGGAAATTCCTTCTAGCCTTGAGAATCAATGGCTTTCAATGTGGATTCTAGAATTATCTGTCCTAACAGACTCTGAGACTGAAAAATTCTAAAAGCCTGTTTAAAATATTTAAGATACTGCAATTCTAAGATTCTAGAATCATCTATTCCTTTACGTCAGTTTCTCAACCCTTTTTCATTATCACCCCCAAAGAGACTTTTAAAATCTTACTTTGTTTCCCCATGACATTTTAGTACCACAGATACAGTGTGAATCTATGTACTGCCCATACATCTATGCTTTATACATAAAAAAATAAAATCTTTGTTGCTCCCCAAGAACCAATTCTTGCCTCCTTAGGAGCAAGATTCCCCATTGAGAATGCTGTAGTTCTAAGAGCCTAGACTTCTCTGCCTCTAGGATTCTAGAACTGCAAGATTCTGTTTTGTGGTTTGAGATCCTAGAATTGCCTGAGGCACAACAGAAATGTGTTGGCCAAAGACCAGTTGTAATTTGTTCACAGCACCTTTATTCGTGATTGCCAACAACTAGGAGCTGCCGAAATGCCCATCCATAGGAAATTGGATTGATGGATGGTGGTGGGTCTACAGCAAAGAGAAAGAGCATCCCGCTGCGGCATGACCAAGATGGACGTACCTTCTGGCCGAGTGGGGGATTCAATGTTGAATGAAAAAAGCCAGGCACAGAAGAGAATGCACTCTATGATTTCCCTTAAGTAGCACACAAAGCCAGGCCAAATAAGTCTATGCAGCCAGAAGTCAGGATGATGCGTGTGTGCATGGGTGGGGGGAAGGGATCCGGGAGGCAGGAAGTCTTGTTTCTTGAGCTGCGTGGTGGTACAAGGGGTGGGCTCAGGCTGTGGTCTGAATGTGTCCCCTGCAATTCCTACGTGGAGTCCTAACCCCTGGAGGTGATGGAAGGAGGAGATGGGACCTCAGAAGGTGATTAGGTCCTGAGCCCTCACGAATGGGATATGTGTTCTTATAAAAGAGACATCACTGCCTCTTCCTCCAAGTGAAGGGTGCCAACTACCAAGCAGGGTGAGGATCCTCACCAGAACAAGACCATGCTGGGGCCCTGACCTTGGACTTCCAGCCTCCGGAACTATGAGAAATAAGTTTCTGCTGTCTACAAACCACCCCAGTCTGCAGTATTTTGTTATAGCAGCCCAAATGGACAAAAGCATCCACTAAGCCGGCCACTTACAATATGCGTTTTTTCTGTATGTCGGAGATACTTTAATAATACATTTTTTAAAAAAAGATTCTGGGATTGTGTTTAGTCAAAATTCCAGAATTACATGTATTCAAGAGTCTTCATGATTGCAGTATTCAGGAAGAAGTCTCAGCAAACTTTAGCCTGTGGATCCAATTAGGCCCACTACCTGTTTTTTTAAATAAAGTTTTATTGGAACCTAGCCCCACCCATTCACGCCTGTCCAGTCTATGGAGGATTTCACACTATAATGGCAGAGTGGAGTCGTTGCAACGTAGAACACAAATTAGAAAATATTTACTCTGTGGGCCTTTACAGAATGTTTGCTGAGTCCTCATCTAGAATTATAAGTTCCAGCATGTCTTTGGTTCTGCAAGTCTAGATTTTGATGTTCCTGACTTTGCAGGATCTCTGTTTCTAAGACTCCCATTGGAAGAATTTAGAGTTTATGTTCCTAGGACGGAATTTGAGATTCTAGAGTTTTGAGATCCTATAAGTTCCAAGAGCCCACTTCTTCCCTCCTCTTGCTCCCATACCTTTCTCCACCAGGAGCTGCGTGCCATTGCCCTGCTTCACCTCCAACTTAGGAATCTCCACGGCCACCCAGCACACGTAGTCCCCACTGTCGTTGAGGCTCACGTGGTCCAGCTGCAGGGTGAGGTTGCCAGGCGCCTTCCAGGAAAGCAGCCTCCGGGGCCCGCAGACCCCCAGGCTGAGGCTGCCGTTGGTGATGTGCGGCTCACACAAGGAGACATCGTCCTTGGTCCACCCAACCCGGAGCCGCTCCCAGGCTTGGGACTGTATCACCTGGCAGGCCAAGGTCACCTGGCTTCCCCGTGTCACCCGCAACCACTTGGGCTCCTGCTGCACTCTCAGGCCTGTGGCTCCTTGCAGGACGAGGGGATACAAGAAGTGAGTAAGGCTGGTGTGTGTGTGTGTGACTTACTCCCCCACTGAGCCCACAGGGCTGAGGCTACATGATCTTTGCAAGATCACGTCTCACTGAGGCTCAAAGTCTTTTTTTTTTTTTTTTTTTAAGATTTTATCTATTTATTTGACAGAGAAGGTGAGAAAGCACAAGCAGGGGGGGAGCAGACGACAGAGGGAGAAGCAGAGCTCTCTCCCTGATGAGCAGAGCTCAATCCCAGGACCCTGAGACCATGACTAAGCTGAAGGCAGATGCCCAACCATCTGAGCCACCCAGGAGCCCCTCAAAGTCTTCATTTGTGAAATGGGTTTAACTTTCTTTCGGCACTTGGGAGATTTCAGGGAGGATTCTATGACCAGTCCAGCTCTCGGCACACAAATATCGCCTTGCGTGTGCCGAGCCCTGTTCTGGACACCACGGACACAGACAGACGTGATGGAGACAGACAGAAATTCCTGCCCCACTCTGGAGTTGACAGTCTGGGAGGAGAGAGAGAGAGAGAGAGACATGGGACGTCATGAAGTGAGAATCCTGATGGAGGATGAGATGAGAGAAAATCTACTTATGGAGGGTGGTCAGGGAAGGCTTCTCAGAGGAGGTGATGAAATGGTAAGAAGTAGCCAGTGGTGGGAAGAAAGGAAAATGGAGGAAGAGCACTCCAGGCAGAGGGAGCAGGCCATGCAAAGGTCCTGGGCACAACCATGCCTGGTATGTTGGAGAAAGAGCAAGGAGGCAAGAGTGAAAGGCAAAGAGCAAAGAAAGGCAAGAGTGACTGAGGGGGAGAAAGGGAGGAAGTGGAATTGGAGAGAAGATGGCTTATACAAGGCTTTGCAGGCCACAGGGTGGAGGTGGGGAAAAGGGAGCAGTTTGCTTTTTAATCTAAGTGTGATAGGAAACCAGGGGAGCAGGGGAAAACATGGTCCAATTTAAGTTTTTTTTTTTTTTTAATTTATTTTATTTATTTGAGAGAGAGAGAGAGAGCATGCAAGCAGGGGGAGGCGTAGAGAGAGAGAGAATTTCAAGCAGAACCCCACCCCCACACTGAGCACAGAGCCCGATCTCAGGATGTCACAACCCTATGAGATCATGCCCTGAGCTGAAATCAGGAGTCAATGCTCAACCAACTGAGCCACCCAGGCACCCCCCAATTTAAAGTTTTAAAAAGATCACCCTGGGGCGCCTGGGTGGCTCAGTTGGTTAAGCGACTGCCTTCGGCTCAGGTCATGATCCTGGAGTCCCGGGATCGAGTCCCGCATCGGGCTCCCTGCTTCTCCCTCTGACCCTCCCCCCCTCTCATGCTCTCTCTATCTCATTCTCTCTCGCAAATAAATAAAATCTTAAAAAAAAAAAAAAAAAGATCACCCTGTGCTGTGTTAAGAACAGACTGTGGGGGTGGGAGAGGGGTTCGGGGTGGCTGGGGGATGAGGGTCCACGAGCATAGTAACGGGGGCTGGACCCTGGAAAAAAGCGATCAGCAGCCGAATGGATTGAGAAAAGGAAAGAAGGACGGTAGCAGATTCCCAAGGTTTTAGCCTCAGGGACTGTGTGAAGGGCGGTGGCTTTGGGCCAATATGGAGGATCCTGACAGAGGAGCAAGGCTGGAGTAGAAGAAAAGTTTGCTTTGGGCCCCTGAGATGTCTGAGGTGCCTATCAGATCCCCCAGAAGGGGTATGTTTAGCTCAAGTTCCTGGCCTTTGATATGCAATCGCAGCGGATGCTAGAGAGATGAGATTCAGGCGGATGGAAGAGCAGGTGCAAGGGCCCTGGAGGTGGGATCGAGCTTGGTGTGTTGGGAAAAAAAGGAAAGAAAGGAAGGAAGGAAGGAAGCAAAGTAGGAAGGAAGGAAGGAAGAAAGAAGAAAGAAAGAGAAAGAAAGAAGAAAGAAAGAAAGAAAGAAAGAAAGAAAGAAAGAAAGAAAGAAAGAAAGAAAAAGGGAGAAAGAAAGAAGGAAAGGGAGAAAGAAAGAAAAAGAAAGAAAGAAAGAAAGAAAGAAAGAAAGAAAGAAAGAAAGAAAGAAAGAAAGAAAGAAAGAAAGAAAGAAAAAAGCCAGCAGGCCGGACAAGGATGAGAAAGGGAAAGCTGTGGAGGGTGGAGATGACAGAGGGCAACGGAGCTAGCTCAGGCAAGCCTGGTGTATAGGTCGTGGTGTGAGTTTTACTCTAGGGACCCACTCTGAGGATCCTGCTAGAACCCTTCAAGCCTTGTAAGGTTCTGAGTATCAGAGAGAAACAGGCCCTATTTAGCAGAGCACAGAGATTGGGTTCCAGGGGCTGGGAGCCAGGGGGCAGGCTGCTGGGGTGATGGACAACAGGAGGGAGGGCAGAGGGGAGGGGGGCCCAAGTACTCACCCCAGAACTGCACCAGGAGGACCAGCGCTGTGCCCAGGGACTCCATTCCTGGCCCACCAGGCCCCCCTCTCCTGGCAGGCGCCCCACCCCCCAACTCCCCATCCTAAGTGACAGACTTCCTGCCACAATCTCCGCCCCCCACCACAGAGGCAGATGTGACAGCCAGGCCAGACGTCTAGTAACTAATCCTGGTTAGGGCTCCACTGCCTTCCCTCTGGTGCCTGGGTTCCCCCAAGATTTTCTGGTTTTGTTTTTTCTTTAATCTGAAAAGCAGTATGTGTATGTCAATGGAATAATGTGTCCCAGTGAGTGCAAATCTTTCTGGGAGATGCTATTTTTTTTAAAAGATTTTATTTATTTATTTGACAGAGAGAGACACAGCGAGAGAGGGAACACAAGCAGGGGGAGTGGGAGAGGGAGAAGCAGGCTCCCGCCGAGCATGAAGCCCGATGCGGGGCTCCATCCCAGGACCCTGGGATCATGACCTGAGCCGAAGGCAGACGCTTAATGACTGAGCCACCCAGGTGCCCTGGGAGATGCTATTTAAACACACCTGAGGGTGCCTGGGTGGCTCAGTCGGTTCAGTGGCTGCCTTCCGCTCAGGTCGTGATCCCGGGGTGCTGGGATCGAGCTTCCATATCGGGCTCCTCGCTCAGCAGGGAGCCTGCTTCTCCCTCTCCCTCTGCTTGCTGCTCCCCCTGCTTGTGCGTTCTCTCTCTGTCAAACAAATAAATAAATAAAATCTTTTAAAAAATAAATAAATAAACACACCTGAGCTGACAGGGGCACGTTGGAAGGTTAGGTGATGCAGGTGTGGGAACAGGGGGAAGGCAGCAGAGGCCTGAGCTTGGATTGAAGATCGGAATCCTAGCTTCAATTATTTGGCCCCCAAAATGTCTTCCTTTGAGGTTCAGAGTAGACTTGTGCTGACGGCTTCAGGTCCCACGACAGGTATGGGGGGGTTCCCCTGTCCCCACAGCCTGCACAGAAGTTTGGGGGCCCAGTGGAGCGAGTTCGTAGGCCCTGGGATTTCTCCCAGCCCTGCATTTGTCACCCGGGGGGGGGGGGGGGGGGGAGGAGGTGGCAGAATTCAGGCCTCAATGTGTCACCCTAACCACATGATGACCTCTTTTCTCACCGAAAAAGAAGAGGGCCTGTGTGCTCAAAAGGGCCGTTACTATCAACCACAGGATGACCCCTGACTGCGGCGACACTCCACCCACACGGCCCCAGCGGACACACACAGCTTCCCAGCCTCCCCTACCCAGGCCACCTCCTCCCTCCGACTTTCTTCTCAAACTCTACCCTTCCCCCACAGTCCGCCCAGAGGCAATGCTGGAGATCCTGGATAGATCTGGCCCCAGGCTGACAGGGAAGACCAAGCTGGACACAGACATTCAGAGACCTGTGGCTTCCGGTCAGGCAGACAGGCTTCTGGAGGAGGGGATGTGAGAGCCTAGGGCTTTATGGGATGTACAGTTCAGTTGTGCCTTGGGGAGAGAAAGGGCATTGGAAGCTGAACATCAGCTCGGGCAAAATGTAAATGCTAGGAGTAAATGCAAGGACTGTGAGCGGTCAGGGCCCAGATCTCATTGCAGGAGAGTATGGAATTCCAGTTTGAGGAACAGCCACGAAATGGCATGGGTGCAAGTCTGGGGAGACTTAGGCACCAAGAGGACTAGGGATGGGCTCGAGGTCACACAGCAGGGCCAGGGGTCGAACCCAGGCAACCTGCTTCCCAGCTCCGGGCTCTCCGCAGCTCAGTCATCACTACCAATGCCGCCTGGCGGGCTCCAGGCTCTGGGGGTCCCTGTTCTCAGGGGCCCCAGGCTCTGGGGTCCCTGTTGTCAGGGACCCCAGCGCGGACTACGTTTCCCAGCTTGCCGCGGGGAGCGCGCGTGCGCACTGCGGACAGTGATGGAGCCCTGACGGGGGGCGCGGCGGCGGCGGCGGGGAGGGCTCGGCGGGCCATTGGCTCGTGGTCGCGGCAAAGGCAGCTTGAGGACTAGAAGAGCGAGCGGGGCCCGCGGGCCGGGCCGGGGACGACCTGGGCTGAAGCCATGGAGGACCAGAGGGTAGGACCGGGGCGGGGCGGGGCGGGGCCCCGGGCGGGGGTGGACAAGGGGGAGGGGACCAGGTGATGCCGCAGCGCCCCCCCCCCCCCGCAGCTGCTTTGCGGCCGAGGCCCCACCCCCGCCCGGATCAAGCCCCCTAATTCGGGACGCAGCACCCCCAGCCGTCGCCCCGACCTCTCCTCATCTTGGCCGGGGTCCAGGCGCATCCCCTCCATGCCGCCCACGCGCACCCACAATCCTGGCCGCAGCCTTGACCCATCCCCCACGCCTTCCATCCGGACTGCGGACCAGGTGTCGGGTCTCTGCCCCGCCCCGGAGGACGCCCCTCTAGCTCAGCCCAGGTGGTCCCACGATCCTGCTCCCCCAGGAAAGGGACACGTCCGAGGCCTGGGTCAGGGTTCCAGGCCCCAGCAGGATCCTCCCACGCGGCTTCCTTCTCTCCAGGCGTCCCCTCACTCAGAGCTCGGTCCCCCACTCCCCAGTTACCTGGGCTCTCAGGCACCCTGTTCTCCAGGTTCCCCTTTTCTTTTTTCTAATCCCTGTTCCCAAGGTATCCCCTTCCCCAGGATAGCCCATTTTCTACAGGCATGATTTTGCTCTGGGGTTTTCTTTGCCCAAGGTAGCCCCTCACCCCATGCCCCGCCCTCAGGAGATAGGTACAAGGTTGAAGGCTTTGTGCTGAGGCGGACCTGGCTCAAGCCCAGGGTCTGCCCTTCCCCAGAGGTTCTTTGTGAGCCTCAGTTTCCTCCGCTGTAAAATGGGCATGCTTGCAGTGTCCATCTGCTAAGTGAGGGAAGATAGGGCCAGAGCTTTGCCCAGGGCCTGCCTCGTGGCGGGTGCCTGAGCTTACTGGCGCTATGGCTCCCACATCTCCTGCATCCCGGGAAGGCAGAGTGGGGAGCCCCAGGTGGGGGAGCCGGGCCTGCCCGAGGGGCTTATGGGCCCTGCATGTGTGCGTGCTTCCGGTGGCAGCAGGAGGCGCTGCGGAAGATCATTACCACCCTGGCTGTGAAGAATGAAGAGATTCAAAGCTTCATCTACTCCCTCAAGCAGATGCTGCTGAACGTGGAGGTGAGGAAGGCGCCTCTGCAGGAGGGATGGAAGGAGGTGGGGAAGTCTTGGACAGGTGGGTGGAAGGGATGGAGGGAGGGTGCAGGCATAGGAGTTAGCCTGTTACTGCTGATGCCTGTCGGCCGTGGCCTGGCTACAGTGTCCAGGCCTCAGTTTCCCTATCTGAGCATAGGCTTTGGCCCACCCTGGCCTGTCTGACCCCACAACATCTCTCCAAGGCAAACTCCACCAAGGTGCAGGGGGACCTGGAGGCCGAGTTCCAGTCCCTCTTTTCCCTCCTGGAGGAGCTGAAGGAGGGCATGCTCATGAAGATAAAGCAGGACCGGGCCAGCCGCACCTACGAGCTGCAGGTGTGTGTTGGGTGGGGCGGAGGGGGGGAACTCTCCCAGACCCCCACCCAGACCCGATTCCCCCATGGCACCCCTCAGACTCAGCAGAGCCCATCTGGCCTGTGTCTTCCTCCAAATCTGTTCCTTGTCCCGCACCGCTTCTTGGAAAGGCCCCTAAGTGTCTCCAGTATCCAGAACCAGACACCCTAGTGGCATTGGCCTCAGCTCCTCTTTTTCCTGGTCTCTTCTCTGCCCCCTCACTGGCTGTGATCCATCAATCCCCCACCCCCACCTGCTCCCCTTGATCTCTGTTCCTACCACCTCCCTCTCCCCTTCTCTGTCACCACAACCCCACCCCCACATCTGACTCCTCCTCCCCTCCAGTCCTCACCTCCAATTTCTCAGCCCTTCCCACTGGTCCCCCAGATCTGGCAACACCCACTCTTGCCAAACACCCCCCCCAACCCCATGGCTCCTGTGGGGTCTCAGACTCTAAACGGAGGTACTGGAGCTGAATCAAAGCCTTCTGGACAACTTTCTAACATCCTGGGTTCCCAATCCCGGGAGAATTTGGGGCCCCGAGGCTCAGGTGTGGCCTGGACAGGCGAGTTTTTAAGAGAGAGATCCCCAGGTGATTTTGAAGTGCTGCCAGGAGTGAGGCCCCATTTCCCTCCACCCTCCCTCCCCCATCTGGAGTTGGAGAAAGGCATGGTGCCCTGAATCCCAAAGGCAGTGGGGAGCCCCAGAGGGTTTGATGCAGTGGGGTGAGGTGTCTCTTCCCTCGGTGCCATGCCACTCCCAGAACCAGCTGGCCGCCTGCACTCGGGCCCTGGAGAGCTCAGAGGAGCTTCTGGAGACAGCCAACCAGACCCTGCAGGCCACAGACAGCAACGACTTCCCTCAGGTGGGCACCTCTGAAGCCATACTGGTAGGGCTAGGCCATAAAATACAGGACACCCAGTTAAATTCGCGTTTCAGATCAACCCCAAGTGATTTTTTTGGTATAAGTGTGGCCCGTACAACATTTAGTATAAGTATGTCCCAAAGATCCCACGGAACATACTTATGCTAAAAAATTATTTGTGGTTGATCTGAAATCTAAATTTAACAAGGAATAATTTGTTTAGTGTAAGCAGATCCCATGCAAATGTTTAGTATTAAAGTATTTCCAGATGTTGCATGGAACATAGTTATACTAAAATGTTTGTTGTGTATCTGAAATTCAAATTTAACAAATTTTTTAAAAGATTTTATTTATTTATTTATTTTGAGAGAGAGAGAGCAGGGGGAGGAGCAGAGGGAGAGGGACAAGCAGACTCCATGCTGAGCATGGAGCCCGACATGGGGCTGGATCCCACAATCCCGAGATCATGGCCTGAGCTGAAACCAAGAGTCGGACGCTCAACCAACTGAGCCACGCAGGTGGCCCTAACAATGAATAATTTTTTAGTATAATATGTCCCATGCAATATTTAGTATATGTCCTAAATATAGAATGGGATATTTATACCAAAAAATCATTTTGTTTATCTGAAATGCAGATGTAACTGGGCATCCTGTATTCTTATTTGCCAAGTTGACTAGCTGGATATAATGGGCACCAGGCACTGGGGATGGGGGTGGGGGTAGGAGCCTGTCTTTGCCCCCATCCCTTTGGGGCACAGCCAAGCATTTCTGCCCCAGTGGTGGAGGACTTTGGCCAGTGGCTGCCCCTCTGGGCCTCAGTCTTCCTGTCTGTATAGTAGCTTTCTGATTCAATCAAGAAAACTCTTTGACTTTTATTCTGTCGCTTTTTCTAGGCTGCCAAGCAAGTCAAAGATGGGTAAGATGCTGGGATCTGGTTCCCACCCCAGTGCCCCGCCCCTGGTGTGAAGGTGGGGACGCCCAGGTGAGGGTCTCTGGGCCCAGAGCACTGGACCAGAACAAGGGGGAGTGGGTCTTCCACACACTTCCGAGAACCGGGCCTGGGCCCCCTTGAGACGCCTGCCAGCAGGCTGCCTCCACCTTCTTCCCTGCAGTGTGACAATGGCCCCTGCCTTCCGGCTGTCATTGAAGGCCAAGGTGAGCGACAACATGAGTCACCTCATGGTGGACTTCGCGCAGGAGCGGAGGATGCTACAGGCACTCAAGTTCCTACCTGGTGAGAAGAGAACTTTCTCGGGGCCTGGATTTCAGGCCAGTGGTACCCTGGGAAAGGCCGCAGCGAGCCTCGCTTTGGAACCCCAGAGGCGTTGGCCCTGGGGGTGGAGCCCCGAGGCTCCCATTCCCGTGTGGGTGGAGCCACGAGCAAGCCCACCCCCAGGGGCTGAGCCCTGAAAAGCCCCACCTACCAGGGGTGGAGTCTCATGAAGGCCACACTCCTATCAGAGAATTCTGAAAATAGTCTACCTCTAAATGGTGGAGTCCCAAGAAGGCCCAGCCCTTTGTTGGTTGAACCCTGAGAAAGCTCTTCCCCGCCGCCCCACCCTGGGGAAGCTCCATCCCTGGACCTCAGTGCCTGGAGGGGCCCCGGCCCCAAGAAGGCCTAAGGTGCCGGTGGTGGAGTTTCGGTAAGGTGGCCCCTCTGTCCTGGACAGTGCCCAGCACCCCTGTGATTGACCTGGCCGAGTCCCTGGTAGCAGACAACTGCGTGACCTTGGTGTGGCGCATGCCGGACGAGGACAGCAAGATTGACCACTACGTGCTGGGGTACCGGCGGACCAACTTCGAGGGCCCGCCCCGTCTGAAGGAGGAGCAGCCCTGGATGGTCATCGAGGGCATCCGGCAGACGGAGTACACGCTGACTGGTAAGGGCAGCTCAGCCCTGCTGCCGAAACCCCTCCCCTTCCACCTTCCCGATCCGGTGCGGCTCGGCAATTCCAGGATCCCCTTTCAACTGGGGGGCCTGGCTGGGCTGATCAGGAGTAACAGAAAGTAATAATAATGAAAACGATATTGATGCTCGCCCCTGCATTGTTAATGGAGGGCTTACTAAATGTTTTACCCCCATGTAATGGACAGGCTTATCAGCATTTTACAGATGAGGGAACTGAGGCCCAGGGGGAGAAGGCATTCTCCATCCCCAGCTACCATCCATCATTTGTTCATTCCAGTGTATTGAGCGCCCATGGTGTACCGGGAGGGGCCCTTGCATTAGTCAGCAAAACGGACGAAAACCCCTCCCCTCGTGGAGCTGGCGTCCTCCCAGTGTTTGGGGATTTCCTTGGCAGGTGTAAGAGAGTAGAATGCGTGGGGGGGATCCCCCAGCTGGTGGGGGAGGGTCTGAGGACGGGTAAAATCAGGGGGTCCCTAATGAGTTTCAGAAGCGGTCCTGAGCCAAGGGAAATCCTCAGCGGCGGGGAGAGTCTTGCTGACAAGATAACCATCACCACAGCTCTTGGGCTGTAATCAGCCTGTTCTTTATCTGTAATTAGCATACATGGTTAATAATGAGCACGCTAATTGCAGGAAAGAAAAGCTACCAGCCAGCAAGAGGGCCTGTCCTTTGCATCGGAATCAAAATAAACATACCCCACTTTTCCCCCGATATATATATTTTTTTATTATGGCCAAATACATATAACATAAAATTTACATCTTAACCATTTTTAAGGGTCCCGTTCGGTAGTAGTAAGTACATTCATAATGTTGTAAAGCCATCATACCATCTTCATCACTCTCCATCTTGCAAAACTGAAACTGTGTCGCCCCGGAACCCTGACTCTTCAGCCCCTGGCTCCCACCATCTACTTCCTGCCCCTGTGATTTTTACTACTTTTAGTACCTAACGTGAGCAGAATCCGACAGGATTTGCTCTTTCGTGTCTGGCTTATTTCACTGAGTGCAGTGTCCCCAGGGGTCATCCATGTTGTAGTGCGGATCAGGATTTCCTTCCTTTTTCAGGCTGAATAGCGTTCCCGTGTGTGGACATACCCGGTTTTCACCACTAGTATCTGCTTACGTAACGCTGGTTCAATGTCAAAACCGAGGAACCAACACGAGCATATTCTGTGGTGTTGATCCACATCTCCCTGGTGATTCAGGACGCCTTCATCCGTGTGTGTGTGTGTGTGTAATCTCTCCCCTGTGCAGTTTTCTCCCGTGTGCAAATTCACGTAACCGCCACCACGGTCAAGGTGGAGGACTGCTGTATCACAGGCTTCCTGATGCATCACCCCCTCGCCACACCCTCCTGCCTTCTACAAAATTTCTAGCGAGTGAATTCCGCAGGGCAGGAAGTCGAGTGCATGAAAAGGTGTGTGGTACTGAGGTTGCAGATGAGGACACGCATCTGGCTAACTAACCCGTGTGGTTATTTAGAACCCACCTGCCCTCTCGACTGCTCGGACAGTCAGGAGGGTTTTGGTTTGGTGTTTGTAACTTACATGCCTCCACTCATCTCATCCTCACGTGAACCCTGCTTAGGATGGGGAATGTGATTGCTGGCTTGCAGAGTGGGAAACTGAGGCCCGCAGTGAGTTCAGACCATCCATAATCAGATGGGTTCCAGGTTTCTAAAACTGAGCCTTCTGGTTGGTAATCTTTGCTTGGGGGCGGTAGACGGTGTCGCTGAGCAAAGTGCTGAACTCTTGGAGAAGGGGTTCCGAGAAGGGTGAGCCAGTGTTGGGCCCTTGGAGGAGGTGGCAGCCAGCCTGAGGCCCGAAAGAGAAGGGGCGGGTAGAGAACAGCCTTCTAAGCAGAGGAAAAACCTGATCGAGGGCTCAGAGGCCAGAGCGCTGAGCCTTTGTGTCTGGAACTAGTTAAGTTAGCCACCCACATCTGTGGGGAGAAGGGAGAGGAGGAATGGGGTCTTTACCTGGAGGGCAAGGGAAGCTATGGGAGGTTTTAGAGCAGGGGGTGCTGAGTGCTGTTTGGGATGATCAGAGAATGGGCATTCCATGGGGAACACTCAGGAGGCACCTGGACATGTGGTTTGGGCTAGAGGTTGGGCTGTGGGTGCTGTGGTGGATGGATGGTATGTGAGGGGCAAGAAGGGGTCAGGGAGCAAGCCGAGTGAGATGAGGGCCCCAGATTGAGTCGCCCCGACATTTAAGAGTGTCAAGGAGGGAGGTGCCTGCAAAGAGGACCTAGGGAGAACAAACAGAGGGGGCGTCCAGGAGACCACTGTGCCTTGGCTGCCAAGGGAAGAGAATGTTCTAGGAGGGAAGGAGTGGTCAGCCAGGAGGTCCTGCAAGGTGGGGACTGACAAAGCCAGAGGAGCGAGAGGGAGTGAGGCAGCAGAGAGGGGTTAGGGATGTAGACAGCTCTCTAAAGAGGTTTAGCTTGAGGGGAAACACAACTAAAGACAACTAGATAGTTGCTTTTTATTTTTTAAGACTGGAAGAAACTAATAAAAAAGGACATAAGGGAGTGTGAGGCATATCCTAGAAGTGGGGAACATTTTTACCCTGGCATGGCTCGATCCAGGGCTTCCAGCAACTGACTCGCTCACTGTTGTTCCTTGCGTTTGTTGTATCTGGGGGATGCATTCTGAAGGAGGCTTGCCAAATGCACTGATAAATTTTCCCAAGAGGAGGGGCGCCTGGGTGGCTCAGTCGTTAAGCATCTGCCTTCGGCTCAGGTCATGATCCCAGGGTCCTGGGATCGAGCCCCACATCGGGCTTCCTGCTCTGCAGGAAGCCTGCTTCTCCCTCTCCCCCTCCCCCTGCTTGTGTTCCCTCTCTCGCTGTGTCTCTCTCTGTCAAATAAATAAATAAAATGTTTTTAAAAAAATTTTTTTTCCCAGGAGGAGCTTCCTCCTAGTTGGCCAACCCGGAGAAGACAGTGACTCTGCTCCCTAGAATACCAGCCCAATGTCCCAGGGAAGATTCTTATTGGCCAGTTTGGGTCATGTGCTATACCTGAACCTGCTGTTACTACTTCCTAAAGCATCCTGATTGGCTAGTCTGGGTTGGAGGCGGAGCCAAGTTACACATAGTCCTTCCGGTGAATGAGGGTCCGGGTGGTTTCTCAGGGATAAGATGTCGTTTGCAAGGTGCTCCTTAGAATAAGGAATGGTGGGATTGCCCTGGGACACAGGGACCTATAACCAGTTGCTCAAAGTGTACACAATGTTGAGATCCCTCTGTTGCTCCTAGGTCTCAAGTTTGACATGAAATACATGAATTTTCGTGTGAAGGCCTGTAATAAGGCGGTCGCAGGCGAGTTCTCCGAGTCAGTGACCCTGGAGACACCAGGTGACTGCCCCCCCCACCCTGCCTGTGACTTCATAACCCCTCACCCTGGGGCCCCAGGTACTGGTGTGTAATGATAATCTTCTATATCAGGGTTCTGTGACCCTTTTTGCTCTGGTTGCCAGGAAGCTCAGAGCTTAGTCCACAGTAGATTCCTCAGCCCAAGTGTCTAATATAAACCTGCTATTGTTTTTTGCTTTTGCAGTTGATCCCATTTTACCTGGATGGTTTTTATACTCTTTCCCTCTCTCTCTCACAAACACACACACTTACTCTCTCTTCTAAAAAAAAAACAGATAAGGGCTCTTAGAGTGAGGGATGGGGTATCAGTCGTGAAGACCGATCTTACTCTCCTACAGCAACACCTTTGCATGCCCTTGTAGGAAGTCCTTCTGCAGTCTAGCTTAACTATGGTGCCATAGCCCAGCCCCTTTCCTGCCACTAATCCCCAGCACAAGGGGCTTTGAAAATGCCTCCCGACCTTCGGGACCTTTAGGCAACAAGCCCTCGGCCTTCACTCCCCCAGCTGCACGCTCTGCCCCTTCCGTGCTTCCCTGTCTGTCTGTCTTGGTGTCTCGCTGCCTGTCCTCTCTGTAGCTGTCTGCCCCTGAGTCCGTCCGTCAGTCTCTCTCTCTCTGTCTCTCTGTCTCAGTCGCCGTTGTCTTTTTCTGTTCTCTGTCCCTGTCACGGTGTGTCTTGGTCACTGTCTGTCTCTCTGTCTCTCTCTGTGTCTCTCCGGGTTTCCCCATCTCTGTGACTCCCTCGTCTGCCCGGCCCCAGCGTTCATGTTCCGCCTGGATGCGTCCACATCTCACCAGAACTTGCGGGTGGATGACCTCTCCGTGGAGTGGGACGCCATGGGCGGGAAGGTGCAGGACATCAAGGCTCGAGAGAAAGACGGCAAGGGGCGGACCGCGTCTCCCGTCAACTCCCCAGCGAGGTAGCCTGTCCCCCCTGCCCTTCCCTGTGTGTCTGATGGAGGAGATCAAGCTGGACAGGGACACCCAGAGTCCTGCATGGTCAAGGCTGGGGTGGAAGGAGGGACATGGAACTGGAGGAGTGCAAAGAGGAAATGAAGGGAGAAGAGGTTTTCCCCTGGGTTTTGACTGGGTGAATAGTTTTCCACATGAGGAAGGGCAGGGGCATGTTCTGATATGCGGGGCCCAGCACACAAAAAGAACCAAGTCCTGTGGTGGACTGATGAGAAGACCATGGTGGCTGGGTGGGCCAGGAAAACCCTCCTCTGGGGACAGTGAGGGCCGAACTGAGCCTTCCCCTCCCCGCCCCTCACAGAGGTGTGCCATCCCCCAAGAGGATGCCCTCGGGTCGTGGGGGTCGGGACCGCTTCACGGCTGAGTCCTACACGGTGTTGGGTAAGGAGGAGCGAAGACAGGAGGGCAGAGGGGACACTCTGGGCGGGGCCCTGATGGGGGGGTGGGGGCGGAGAGAACTTCAGCTGGGGAAACTGAGGCAGCCACCAACCAAGCTTTCTGGGAATAGGTCTAATAATGTGTTGCTGTGGCGCTGGAGGAGTGGGAGGATTGGGGGGTGGGCTTCCTGGGGGTGGGGGGCAGAGCTTACGGAAGCTCTGGCCTAGAGATCAGCCAAGGGCAGGGTGTCCTGCGGTTTGTGGAGTGCCTGGGATTTGCAAAGTAGCTGGAAAGAACGGTTGCCGGTCTTGGCTAGAGTTGGGGTTAGGGTAAGAAGCAGGGGAAGGGGTGGAGGGGGGCTGGTCTGCAGGGTGGCTGAGACCTCGCCTAGTTGTGGTCAGGAGAGTAGCTGAGGTCGGGGAGGAGCAGGCCCAGAGAAGAGACATACGTGGGGGTGAGCCCTGTATCTGTGGAGCTGAGATGGTAGATGGACAGGAGTTGGGAGGGGGGAGGGGCAGGAGCACGTAGAGAAGCTGAAGCTCAGGAGTCGCTGGATCAGGGAGGAGGTGAGCTGGCAAGAATCTGAATCTGAACCTGGGAGAGTGTGCACTTGGGGATTAGCTGAGATCCGGGAAGAGCTGAGGCCCAGAAGTTGGCCTCCACCAGGAGCTGGGGTCTGGGTAGAATCTAGATTCACAAAGCGATAGGAAAGAGTCCCAAAGTGCCAGGGAGGGTCTGCGCTCCAGTAGGACTTGAGGCCTGTGGGAATATGTGGAGTCGGCCAGGAGCAAGGGTTTGGGGATTACGTAGTCTCTGGGAAGAACTGAGGACTGAGGAGTATCTGGAGGAAGTTTCTAAGGGCTGGAAGCATCTGGAAGGAGTAGCTTGGACCTGCAGAGAATCTAAAAGGATTAGTTGAGGCTTGGAGAGTATCTGGGCTTTCTGAGTATCTAGAGGAAGTGGATGCAGCCTGGGGACTACCTGGGAGGAATAGCTGGGAACTGAGGAGTATCTGGAGGGAAGAGCTGGGGTCTGGGGAGTACCGGGGTGACCACCCCTTTGTGGAAGGGCATCTGGGGCCCGATTCCACCTGGCCCCCGCTGCCCTCCCCCCCCCCCCCCGCAGGGGACACGCTGATCGACGGTGGGGAACATTACTGGGAGGTGCGCTACGAGCCGGACAGCAAGGCGTTCGGCGTGGGGGTGGCATACCGCAGCCTGGGCCGCTTCGAGCAGCTGGGCAAGACGGCCGCGTCCTGGTGCCTGCACGTCAACAACTGGCTGCAGGTCAGCTTCACCGCCAAGCACGCCAACAAGGCCAAGGTGCTGGAACCCCCCGTGCCCGACTGCCTGGGTGTGCACTGCGACTTCCACCAAGGTGACCCCGAGCCCCGGTCGGCCTCGCGAGCCCCCTCTCCCCCCGCCCACTCTCTGCTGCAGGCCCCTCTCATCGCTCCCCCCCCTCGCTCTGCCTCCACCCCAGGCCTCCTGTCCTTCTACAACGCCCGTACCAAACAGCTGGTGCACACGTTCAAGGCCAAGTTCACACAGCCCGTGCTGCCTGCTTTCACAGTGAGAACCCTTCCGCGGCGGGGAGGGGAGAGGTGGGGCTGGGGGCTGGCTCTGCTCCTGCGCTCGCCCGCTCCCCTCACCGGTCCCCGGTCCCCAGGTGTGGTGCGGCAGCTTCCAGGTGACGACAGGCCTGCAGGTCCCCAGCTCTGTGCGCTGCCTGCAGAAGCGGGGCAGTGCCACCAGCAGCTCCAACACCAGCCTCACCTAGGCCACTGGACCGCCCGCCCGGCCCGGCTGAGTTTGGGGAGCCCCCCCCCAGGCCTTGGTTGTTTCAGCCGACACCTTCTTCTCACTTTGCTGCTTGGAGCCTTAACTCCTGATTGGGGGGGTCACCAATGGGGAGCGGGCACCAGGGCGGGCCCTCGTCCCCACCTCACCTCCTAATAAAAGTCAATCACTGGCCAGGCCGTGCTGATGGTTCTTTGGGGCTGGCTGGCACTGAGTATGCCCCAAACCTCTCTGGACCTCAGCTTTCCTGGCTGTAAAATGGGCCTTTCTTGTAGGATCAGGTGGCAGGTTTTGCTAAGCAAGTGGGGCCTGCTGTGGGCAGCATCTGACAGACGCTCACGGCCCCCCCACCCCCCCACCCCCGCCCCAAGCCAGGCCGGACACGTCGGCCCTGGGATCACTGGAACTTTTATTCTGGGAGGAGCGGTCGGCCCGGCTGACTTCGGAAGCCCGAGCCCGGCTCACTGATCCCCAGCGTGTCCAGCAGAGCGCTCCAGAGCCCGCCTCCGCTGCAGTTTCTCTTCCAGCTCTGCCGTCAAATCTGCCAACCCTGGGGGGGGGGGGGATGTGACCGAGGCCTCCGCTGCACCAGGGATCCCCAGTCCATGCTGTCCCCCCAACCCCACACCCACTCACGACATGCTGCAAAATCTGCGGGGCCCCGTGAAAGGTGAAGATGTACTCAAGAGCCTGGAGGAATTTCAAGACGGCTCAGCATTAGACCGAGCATGGGGAGCTTCAGAGTGGGGGGTCCCGTGTGACTGCGCAGGCCACCTGCCTGGGAGGCCCACCCTGCATCGACCCCCACACGCCTCACCTGTTGTGGGGAAGAGAGTCTGCATTGAGCCGACTGCTAGCTTCTTGGCCAGGCCGCCGCTGAGGCCTTTGGGCTCTGGAGAAGGCAGATGAAGAGGTGAAGGCTGAGGCTGGCTCTGGGCTGGATGAGGGAAGGGCCGGGGAGGAGGGACCCCTACCTGGCTTGGGGGCAATGGGTGGCTTGGGCGCCTTTGTCAACTTCCTGGGCTTTGGGACCGGCCGACTGGGGGAAGGCACTGTATGGACAACGGTGTGGTGTGTCACATCCGGCTTTGAGCCCCCTCCCCCGTCCCCATCTCTCCTTGGCTCCCTCCCCACCTACCATCCCCGTTCACGTAGGTGGCAGCTGGGTCATCTCCAGTGGGGATCACATAGTTCTCCTCCTGGTTCAGGAGTGGGGGTGACCTGCCCTGGCTTGCCACAGGTGTGATGGGCACGGGAGGCAGCTGCTTGGGGCCATCCGAGGCAGGTGCAGGCCCTGGTGGGAAACGGCAGTTCCTGTCTGGGCCCATGTGGTGCAGGAACACCTTCGCGTGGGTCTGCTGGCCTCCGAATGAGGATGCATGTACTCATGCCAGGATTCAGGCATGTGATCCTGTGCGTGTGCGTGTCCCCGTGTAGTATAAACATGTACACTGAGTGAATCTGCATAGTTGAATATATGTAAAGCGTTTGTACACACGCCCCTAAACGTGGGTACGTGCAGGACACTGCGTGGATACTAGAGTATGTGCTCAGGTGTTCGTCTCCATCAGGGTGCACACCCGTGTACCTAGAAATGTCTGAATTTGCGCTCGCGGTGAGCATTTGCGTGTGCGTGCCTGGTCGTGGCTTAGGTGTGTGTATGTGTGCGACCCAGGACTGGAACTGTGGGACACTGGTACTCACGCATGTGTGGAGCCCTCGGCCATTTGGTGTCTACAAACGAGCTTCTGATTATGCAGACGGACGCAGTTCGTGTTCGTGAGTGTGCAGTGTGTATGTGTGTGTGTGTACATACATGCCCAGCGTGCACAAGGGTCCCGCCACATCTGCCCAGCCCCAGGAGGACCAGGCTGCTTACCCCACAGACCTTTCCAGGAGCCCCTTCTCCCTGCTCCATAAACGGGACCGCCTCCCACCTCAACAGCCACCTGGGATACTCTGGGTAGTTTCTTGCTCCAGGTGAAGCCCATCTCTACCTACTGAAATCCTTTGAGACCTTAAGCAACACCCCCTCCTCCAGGAAGCCTTCCTCCTATTCTGCCCTCTTTCTCTGCCCGTCTAGGCACCTCTGCCTCCATCCCCAGGTTCAACCGCACAGGGCTGGGAGTGTATCGGGCTCCACAACCCGGAGGGCAGGGTCTAGGTAATTTCTGGGTCGTTGCAACTCTGGGTACAAGATTGGACACGGGCGGTGCCGAGTGGGTCCCAGGTCTCTCCCCACTGTGGCCCAGCGGTGCCCGCAGGGCGGGGGCATCACCTGCGCCGGGCGCCGCGGGGGTGGAGCGCGCCACCCACACACTCTCGCCGTTCTCTTTATCCGCCTCCACGTGGCCTAGAACAGAGATCCGTCCTAGAGGAGGTGCGGCGGCTGGGCATCGACCCAGGGGTGGCCCGTAGGGGCAGGAGCCGGAGAGGCACGTACTGGGTCCCCCGAGTTCCCTGAGACCGCACCCACCTAGAACCTTCTCGTAGTGTTCGTCCAGCAGGAAGGGCACCAGCGCGTTATTGGTGTGTGACACGAAATAGTTGATCACCGCGTCGAGTGAGGCACAGGAGAACTGGAGACGGATAGGGGTCGCAGTTAAAGCTGTTGCGGAAGGGGCGCAGACCTCACCACTACGCACCCCGGGATCCCGGACCAAGGCTCACCGGCTCCTCCACGTCGATCACATACTTGGGGCCCTCACGCTTCACCTTGTAATGCCGGACCACCGACTTCCTGCACAGACAGTGGTGAGTGGGTGGACCGGCTCAGACCGGGGAGAACCCCGCCCCTTGTCCTGACTCCGCCCCCACGGGGGGCCTAAACTCTTCTTGCTCCTCTGCACACTGACCACGCCCGGTCCTGGCGTGGCTCTATGCGGAGAACCAGGCCCTCAACTGACTGCACCCTCCAGGAAGACCATGCCGCTGGTCCTGCCACTGCTCCCAGGGAGGACCATGCCCTGATGGCTCCACCCAAGGGGCCCCGCCTCCCTACTGGGCTCTGCCTCCCTACTGGGCCGCCCCCGGGGTTCTGACTCCACCTTCAACTGGCCCGACCCCTCACCAGACTATCCCAAAGGAACCTTTTTTTTTTTTTTTTAAGATTTTATTTATTTGACAGAGAGAGACACAGCGAGAGAGGGAACACAAGCAGGGGGAGTGGGAGAGGGAGAAGCAGGCTTCCCGCAGAGCAGGTAGCCCTAAAGCGGGGCTCGATCCCAGGACTCTGGGATCATGACCTGAGCCGAAGGCAGACGCTTAACGGTTGAGCCACCCAGGCGCCCCTATCCCAAAGGAAGCTTTAATGTCAGGCTCTGATCCGCCCCCAGAGTGGTTCCACCTCCAAAGCCTGGTTCAACCACCACAGGGAGGGCCGGGCCATGACTCCACCCACAGGGTCCTGACTCCGCCCAAGGGACTGGTTGCCACCCCTGGATTTGACCTCTTCCCTGCTCCAGATGCCCAGACCCAGCTCCGACTCCGCCCCGAAGAGCTGATCCTAATCCAAAGGTCTGACGTCGCCTACAGAGTCCCGTCCCGGCTCCAGGATCTAACTCCTCCCCCAAGGGGATCCACCGCCCTTCCTGGCCTCTAGCCCCGCCCCCAGGCATTGACACTACCCACCCATCCCGGGGCGGGGCCAACCTCAGGACCTCGTGCCCCGGGAGCTCTGGCCCCGCCCCCAGGACCTACCCCCGTCCCAGCTCTGACTCCGCCCCCACGCTCGCTCCTCCTCCCGCCCCGGCGCCGCGCAGGCGCACCCCTTGAGCGTCTGGCGCGTGGTGACCGACACGTCGTCCCCGCCGTTCCCGCTGGGTCGCAGCAGCAGGTTTCCGCAATCGGGATAGCGCTCCAGGAGTAGCTGCGCCTCCAGCCGGCTCACCTCCAGGAAGCAGCTGGGGCGGGCCGCGTGCCTCACTCAGGGCAGACCCCGCCCCTGGATCCCAGCCCCGCCCTCCCGCGAAGCCCCGCCCCCCAGCACCGGGACCCGGCCGCGCACACCCGGCTGGCCTCCCCCCAGGCCCCAGCCCCGCGCCTCCGTCCGCCGCCGTCCCGGGGCCGCTCGGCCCGGCGGGGCACTCACGAGGGCACCTCGAACGCGCGGCGCGCCTCCTCTTTGGCCAGGGCCTCGGCCATCATATACAGGTGTCCCGGCAGCAGGGTCAGGTTCGACGGGACACGCAGCTGAGGGGCGATGGGGCACCCGAGGACGCCCGGCCGTTAGGGCACGAGCGGCTTGTGCCCGTGTCACCGACGGGCACCCTGAGACCGGGGTGCGGGCCGAGCCAGGATGGGAACCCGGGTTCTGCAGCCACCCAGGGCAGGGGCAAAGAGGCTTTGGAGGGGACGTGAAGTCACTTCGCTGATGGGGAGGACAGATCAGATGCTAGAATAAATGTAGGGTCTCAAACCCAGCGGCCTGCAGGGGCCAGGCAGAGGACAAATGACTAAAAGAGAAATCAGGAATGTTGACAAAAACTCCAGGCTTTTAAGTAAGGGCAGGTAACTTTTACATATTTTACGTCTGTGGGCTCCACCTGGCTCACGGCCGCCGTGTGAGAGGAGGCTGGTTTGATGGATGTAGGATGGAAAGAGGAAAGAGGGTTCTGAGCAGGCGACCGCTCTTACCTCAACCACCGTCAGGATGAAGCCTTTCCACATCTCCCGAGACTCCAGGCTCTCTACCTGGGGAGGGAAAGAGAAAGAGTCCATGTCGATGAGCCTCGGCCCATTCATCTGTGAAATGGGGATGAGGAATACTAGTAGTTTTCAAGGTTAAATGAGTAAGGACGTGTTAATTTAGGACGTCTGAACTTAAGTCCTTAGTAATGTGGGATGCTATCCTGTAATGTCACTGAATCAACATTAACTTATTTGTCTCTCTTATTTATTCTACATCAACTCTTTTTTAAGATCTTATTTTATTTTGAGAGAGAGAGTGAGCGAGAGAGCACGAGCAGGGGGAGGGGCAGAGGGAGAAGCAGACTCCCCACTGAGCAGGGAGCCCAACCCAGAGCTCCGTCCCAGGACCCTGGGATCATGACCTGAGCCAAAGGCAGATGCCTAACCGACTGAGCCACCCAGGCGCCCCTGGTTTGTGTTTGTGTTTTTTGTTTTTTTTTAAAGATTTTATTTATTTATTTGACAGAGAGACACAGTGAGTGAGGGAACACAAGCAGGGGGAGTGGGAGAGAGAGAAGCAGGCTTCCCGCCAAGCAGGGAGCCCGATGCGGGGCTCGATCCCAGGACCCTGGGATCATGACCTGAGCTGAAGGCAGACGCTTAACGACTGAGCCACCCAGGCGCCCCGGTTTGTGTTGTTTTGAAAGTCCTTTG